ATACCTTAAAGCCTACGGATATTACTCTAGTTAAGGCCATGAAAAATCCTCCTGATACAGTTAAACTAGTGATGGCTGCCGTTTGTGTGATGCTGAACGTTCCTCCAGATCGGAGTATTGATCCTGCTACCGGTAAGAAGATAACGGATTATTGGGGAGCCAGTAAACGTGTTCTAGGCGACATGAACTTTCTACAGAATCTTAAAGATTATGACAAGGATAACATTCCTGCAACACTGATGCAAGTTATTAAAAAGACTTATATGCCTGACAAGAGCTTTATGCCTCATATAGTAGCGAAAGCATCCAGTGCTGCTGAAGGTCTTTGCAAATGGGTTCGTGCTATGGTTTCCTATGATGAGATTGCTAAAATCGTAGCACCCAAAAAGGAAAAACTTGCTGCAGCTCAAAGAGAGTGTGATGAAACGGAAGCCTTTCTTAATGAAAAGAGAAAAACACTTGCTGCCTTGAATGCAAAATTAGCTGCTTTAAACTTGAGCCTTCAGGCTACTCTTGCAAAAAAATTGGAATTGGAGAATGAAGTTGCAAATTGTAGCAGTAAACTCATGAAGGCCGAAGCTCTTATCAGTAGTCTTGGAGGCGAGAAAAATAGGTGGATGCAATCTGCAGAATGTTTAAAAAATTTATACGACAGTCTTGCTGGAGATATTTTAATCTCTTCCGGTACAATAGCTTATTTATCATTTTTTAATATGAAATGTCGATACCATAATATTTATGAGTGGAAAGAGTTTGTGAAATACTTAAAAATACCATGTTCAACGGATTTTGAATTTTCCAATATTCTCGGTTCTCAAATAAATATAAGCATGTGGCGTGTTTATGGTTTGCCGAAAAATCAGTTCTCCGTGGAAAATGCGATTATTATGGATAATGCAAAATTCTGGAGTTTACTCGTCGATCCAGAAAATCAAGCAAATAAATGGATCAGAGAAATGGAAAAATATAATAATCTCGAAGTAGTCAAACTATCTAATTTAAATTACTTGACAATTATAAGACGTGCTATTGAAACAGGCGTGCCTGTTTTGTTAGAAAATATCAAAGAGGAAATGGACGTATCTTTGGATTCTATACTATCTAAAAATATTTACAAAAAGAACGAAGTTTCATATTTAGACGTTGGCCACGATACTATCGTGTACCATAAAGACTTTCGACTGTACATCACAACGAAATTGTATAATCCACAATACTTACCATACGTTTTTGATAAAGTTACAGTAATCGATTTTGCACTACCTACTGAAGCTCTTGAAGATCGACTCTTGGATATAGTTATAGCGAAGGAAAAGCCAGAACTTCAAGAAAAATTCGAAGAACTCCTTGTACAAAGTGCAACAAATCAAAAAGCATTGAAACAGGAAGAGGATAATATTTTGACAACGTTATCAGCAAAAAATACAAATATACTTGAAGATGAAAGTGCTATAAGAATTTTAGACTCTTCGAAAAATCTTGCTCTGGATATAACAAGAAGAGAAGCAGCGATTAGGGCAACTAGAGATGAGATTAACGAATTTCGCGAATCTTATGCCCAATTTACAAAATACTCTGCAATGTTATACAGTACGCTTATTAACTTGCCAAATTTAAATCCCATGTACCGATTTTCGTTAGCTTGGTTTACTCAACTATACGTAACATCCATCGACACATCAAATAGAAGTATTCTTCTAAAAAAACGTCTGGAGTATCTGAAAACTGCGTTCACACAAAATTTACATTCAAGCATCTGTAGCTCATTATTTGAAAAACACAAACTTCTTTATACGTTCATGCTGTACTCCAAAACTTTGTTAGATTCGAAAAAAATAACAGAAGAAGAAATGAAATTCTTTACATCAAATGGTTACAAACATTACGATTCATTATCAAATCCAGCATCTACCTGGTTACAAGAAGAGTCCTGGATGAAAATATGTAAACTTAGCAGCACAATAACAGCATTTCAAGATTTTGCAAAAACATTTTCATCAAATTCTTGGCAATCTTACTATCAGTCATCAAATCCTGAAGATCAGCCATTGCCTGAACCTTGGGAAGATAATCTGACACCATTTCAAAAACTGATAATCACTAAAATTATACGACCAGACAAACTCGTTGCTAAGATTACTATGTTTATAGAAAATGGTATGGGGAAAAGTTTTATTGACCCACTACGACGTGACATATCCCAATCGTACACAGAATCAAGTTGTTTACTACCAATAATATTTCTCCTTCCAAGTGATGCAGATCCAATGGTCACCATTACAAGATACGCTGAAAAAGTTGGCTATTCTTCAAGACTATCAATAATTTCCATGAGTGAAGATCAAGCAGATACTGCTAACCTTCTAATAGAACAGGCTAGGAGAGATGGATGGTGGATCTTTATACAAAACTGTCATCTTGTTTTACCTTGGATGGCAGAACTAGAAAATATCTGTGAAAACTTCAATACCACAAATACCTCTCTAGCATTTCGATTATGGCTTTCAAGTTACTCAGTTGAACAATTTCCAATTAGTATTCTAGAAAATAGCATCAAGATAGCTAACGATTCGCCAATAGGACTAAAGGAAAATTTATTAAGCTGTTACCATTCAGAATTGATAAAGGATAAAAAGTTCTTCGATGGCTGCCCTGGAGAAGATAAACCCTTTTCAAAACTACTTTATGGACTTTGCTTCTTCCATGCTGTTGTTCAAGAACGGAAACAATTTGGTCCTTACGGTTGGAACGTGCCGTACGAATTTCAAGATTCATGTTTTCAGATATCAGCAAGACAATTGCAGGCATTTCTTAAAGAGCAAGATGAGATACCGATTAATACATTATTGTATCTATTTGGGGAATGCAATTATGGTGGACAAATTATGGATATCATGGATAAAAAATGTTTAATTACTCTCTTGGCCGATTACTGCAGTTTAAACACTGTTACTGATCCGAACTATGGTTTTGCTAGTGGTTCAGCGTATTTACTGCCGAAAAGATGCGAATATCGGGATTATCTTCAACATATTAATAACATTCCTAGGCATACGTCACCGGAAGTCCTTGGCTTAGATGAAAGCACAGATGTCATTAGAGATAATGCAATTGTTCAAGGATTTCTTGAATCTTTATCATCGATGAACGAAATCGTTTTGCATAAAAATGAAAAGTCCATAGAGGATGTAACAAGAACAATAATTAATGACATTCGTGATAAACTTCATGAAACATGGGACGTCGACAGGATTGAAGAAAAATATCCATACTCCTATGCGAATCCGATGAATATTGTTTTGGTGCAGCAAGTACATTTGTACAATGAACTTCTAACGAAAATTAAGAATTCATTAAATCGTCTTGAACTTGCTTACGATGGAGATGTATTATTCACGTCGGTATTAGAAAATTTTGCCGAAGAATTAATCAATGGAAAAGTTCCTTCGTATTGGTACACAGCCTGTAAATATCCCAGTGTCGATAATGTAGCAAATTTCATTAACAATCTCGCAGAACGCGTGGCTTTCATTAAATTATGGCTCGATGAAGGTCAACCTCGTTTATTATGGCTTCCTGGATTATCATTGTGCAAAGCGTTCCTCTCAGTATCTCGTTTAATGTTTGCCAGAAAATGTAAGATTCCTGTTAGTGAAATTTTATTTGATTATGAGATACTATCCGAAGCTGAAGTGCATGACATAAATGCTGATAATATCATTTATATTACTGGACTATTTTTAATGGCCGCGCGTTGGGATGGAGAAAATCGTGTTTTGATAAAAAATACCCCTAAAATTCTTTCTAGTCCAATACCAATAATTTGCTTTAAAATGATTGATAATAAAAAAATTTTAATAATTAAAAATAATATTTTCGAATGTCCGCTATATGTTATCGCTGGACAAAAGGGAATAAAAGATTCCGTGGAGCAGCCATCAAATTTGATTTCATTAATATCGCTTCCTACTAATATACCGGCGAAATATTGGATTAAAAGAAAGACATCATTGTTTTGTCAATGCATTGCATAAAAAGGCGCTATATAAACAATATTTTTCCGTATAGAATTGTATATCTTGACGCTTAAGAATTCTGTTGTGCAAGTTTTCTTTTTCCATTGATTCGAACTACTCGCGGAGTTCATTTCTCGCGCATCCGGTTCTGTTTCACTGATAGACAAGAGGAATGACAGTAAATTGAAGAAGCTAAAGTTTCTGTGCTTTGCTTAGCCAAAAAGAAAATACGCTCGCGACGAGTGTTTCATAAGTATCGACTTATCTCGGCAAAGTGGTTGAAATTAAATTGAGTGAAATTATTAACGAAAAATGGCGAGCCACGAAGAACTTATTTCGCAGTTTACTGACGTGACTGGCGTTGAAACTGAACGAGCTCAATTTTACCTCGAGTCATCGGCTTGGCAGCTCGAGGTGAGACAGCATATTTGCACGTTTCGAAAATGATTTAACCAAATTTTATTCTCTGCAGCCTCTACAAGTTTTTCAATAATAAATTTTTAGGAATGGAAGGGTCCGAGTAACTGACTGTAACCTAACCGTGAATGATATACCTTCAGTGTTGTGACAAAGATATTTTAGTTATAAGCTCTGTTATACTTATTCAATATAATTAAAAGATGATTATAAATCCATACAATATAAAGGTTGCATAAACATTCATAAGAAGTGTAGTGTATATTACCAGTCATATAAGCATTTGTGGAACTGCTGTGCTATTACATGAGATATAACACACTTAGGATTTAGTCGTTTGGATGGTAAAATAAATATAATATTATCTGAGACACATGTTTTCAGTCTCTCATTTGTTTAGCTACATAAATATTCACATTTGAATATGACAATTTCTCTATATAATATACTTGTATATTCATTGATTATTAGAAGACAAAGTAGTTTATTCACAGATATCGTAATAACTTTATTTGTAAATTAAAAATTAGATACTACCACATATTAATTAAAATTAATTTATTCCAGGTTGCTCTTGCTAGTTTTTATGAAAACGATGAACCAGCTGGATTAGTAAATGAGCCGATAGAAGACATAGTTCCTGAAGAAGATATAGATGATATACCAAGACCTAAAGAACCCACACCAACTGAAATGAAGTCTTCCAAGCCTAAGTCAAAACCAAAACCGAGATTCGGAACGATCAACGATTTACAAAATCGAGATAGCAGTTCGGACGAAGAAGAAGGTCAGGCATTTTATGCAGGTGGCTCTGAACACAGTGGGCAGCAAGTGCTAGGCCCAGGAAAGAAAAATGATATTATCAGTGATATGTTCAAATCTTGCCAAGAACAGGCTGTTTCTTTGGACCCAAGACCAAGTGGACACCAAAAACCAAATACATTTGGTGGCCCTGGATACAAACTAGGCCAAACAAGTAGTGATACCGAAGGTATTACATTAAAGATAGCTTTTGTTAAAATTAAATTCGTTTATTTTCGTTCCGTCTACTATTTTGATGTCGTGAACATCTTTATTTTATGTGCATATTTTATCAATCTTTGAATATACAGTGGTTTCAGCATCACCGTCCAACCAGCAGTCCAATACGGGTCTAATTACGTTAAAATTATGGAGAGACGGTTTCACTATAAACGATCAAGAGATTCGACCATATAACGATCCAGCTAATAGGGAATTCTTGGCTGCGATTAAACGTGGAGAGATCCCAATGGAAATCCGTCAGGAAGTTCAAGGTGCGGAAGTACGTCTAGACATGGAGGATCATCGTCACGAAGAATATGTACCTCCAAAAGTGAAGGTCAAGGCTTTTACAGGCAAAGGACACATGTTGGGAAGGTTTGTTGTATACGACAATTAGAAAATCTTTCTCTTTAGAGACTTTATGCAATTTTGTGAGATTAGATGTTGTAGCAATGACTGTATCTATTAATTGATTATTGATTAATCTTTTAGCCCCTCGCCTACTACTGCTGGCATGACCATGACAACAGACCCAGCAGATCAAGCAGCGAATGAGGCACAAGCTAGAAGTCAATTGAATTTAGACTCCACAAAACCAATTACTACGCTTCAAATACGTCTAGCCGACGGTAGTAATGTTAGAGTTCAACTAAATCTCACACACACAATCGGTGACATCAGACGATTTATCACAACGTATCCTTTAATAAGAACAGTCAAATAGAATCGATAAAAATTTACCAACAGTCAGGAAATATTCATAAAACATTTTCTTTAATCGTAATTCAGTATGAGGCCTCAATACGCGATGCGAGATTTCAGCTTACTAACAAGTTATCCCAGTAAGGAATTAACAGAAGAAGATAAAACCATCGCGGAAGCTGGTCTTCAAAACTCTGCTATTATGCAACGACTGAAGTAGACCCTGCAAATGTTCAGTTGCCTAACCCTATAATGCTGTAACAATGAAAAATCAACCAAATATACATTCGAACGTTTAAAAATAAAATTTCTATCACAATTATAATTTCATTGCTTTTATAATTTAACTTTCCAATAAAAATTTGCCAACGTATAATAGATGCCTAATAAATGCCTAAGAAAACATTAGTCTTTAGATACTTAAGAAGGTCGATAAATAACTGATATTGCTGTACAAATTACTTTTTATTTTTATTAATATGTATTTCATTCGATATTTTCAATGATGATTGACATCCTATCTATAAACTTTAATGTTGAAAAAGTTCGATATAAACAAGATCCATCTATAAAAATAAAAATATAATTTCTTATTCATAACGCTTACTAAACAACTTTCAGTTGGTCTACCTTAGTAGAAAAACATCAAAACTAACATTAGATTTAAACAATTCTAACTTATTACAATTATTCATTACATTACTTTCAAACAGCACCCTGTGATTCCATGCAGCCTGTAAAATTATGGCCTGTGCCCGCTCTTCAATCGTTAATGAACTCATAATAGATAAAGTACTAAAAATTGCAACAACGCTCATTAGTACTCATAAATATGAATAACATTCGTAACTTCTTTGTGGCGCAATTTACAGCTAAACTACATACATATATAGCCCTATGACTAATTCTATCTGCATATTAACCTTTGAACTGATTTTATCCTAGTCATGCATTCACTATTTACATACTCTATCGAAATAAATGTTCTACCTACAAACTTCTTCTCTTAATCCTTTATACGAGTCATTAACATAAAACTAAAATATTCTAAACAATTTATTATTTACCGCGATATAGAACAATTTAAACACCTTCAAAGTAAAAATGATTTATTTTCAAATATTTAATTGGAAGAAAATATCTTTCCTGTAACATACTGTTTAAAAATTGGTGCGTTTTGCATATCTCCCGCAAATCTTAGAATAGAATTATCATATGTATCGGTGCTGGTATCATCATTAATTCTATTACAGTGTTGGTATCTATTGATAAACATTAAGTCGGTTACAGCATCATTCTGTTCAGTAACCAAATCATTTCTCTGTAACGCATCACGTTTGAAAAGATACACAGGACGGTTTACGATAATATTTTTATTTTTGTGCGTTTTTCTCAGCACGATTGGCGTATTTTTAGTTGCCCGTTTGTCGTCTTTTTGTTCTGTACAAAAGACTGACGTATTAAGCTTGTATGAAACATAAGACGGCCATGTGTTCTTACCAAAATCAAATAGCAAATCAGCTACCAAGTGATGGTACTTCAACACTATATATTCCTCCCATGATAAAGTAGTTACATACATTACTTTATTGTACGTCCTATGCAGACAATCTGCCTGAATAATATCTCTTACAATGTTTGGATGAACCCCCGTAAAAGGAAAATTCCAGGGTAATGTTGTATAAGTAAATTTCCAGTATGGACTTGGATTTTGTGCCATATTTTTCAATGCTTCGTTAAAAGTATTAGGTATACCATAATCATATACAATAAAGTTATCCATACCAATTAATTCATGAAAATTTAAGAAACTTATCATATCAGCAGTAGACATTGGCTTATTCATTGGAGGTGCTATACAAATAACACTATTATTACTGTCATAAGTGACAGGTGGATTGGTTACTGGCAAAATTGCTACATCATTATGATTCTTTTCATTTCTATTAAGGAATGAGATTGCAATAGGTGGTCGACCACCTTCATATTGGCAAAGAAGCTCATACCCTATATATTTTTGTTTTGCATTATTAGGTTTTTCTGTAACGCTCTTAATTGGAGAAAGTACAAAATATCCTGGAAAAGGCTCAATGTTCCCTTCAAAGAAAATGTTACAAGTCAAATTCAAATTGTTATTCACTTTACCAATACCTATTGCCCTAACCTCTCCTGCATCAGAAGAATATGCTGAATAGACATACAATTCATTATCAAGTCTTTGCCAGGATGAAACAGGTATATCAAAATGAAAATCAAACTTTTTCTCTGCAGAGCTCTTTGTGCAATTTGTATCAACTCCACTTCGTCCTGGTTTTCCAAAAAAGTTCAATACTTCTAAAACATATCTGAGTCTATTGTATTCGTGCCTGTAGAAGAGCAGAGATACCACACTGACAGTAGCTATAATAACTAAGGCAGCCTGATAATACTTTCTCATTTTGCTGGTAGCACGATAATTAACAGTTCTAGTCACAATTTCACAGTTCCCAGTTCGATGAGGATTATTTAATTGAGTGTAAATAACTTCAGTTTTCATACTAGCCACCACAGTGTGGCTACGATGTAGAGGTTAAAGAGACTGCTGAAACAAACATTTCTCAATGAAATACATCATTAATACAATCTCTTAAATACTATTCTAATAATTAAACACAAATACTAATATACAACTTCATTTATACAATATTCTTTATACACATGCGTATATGGATATTTAAGACCTTACCTTATGTCTTCTAGGTTATTTTCTCCTGTCGAACGTTGCCCACGGTAACTAACGATACTCAATTAACGATAAATATGATAGAAACAATTAATCACGAAGCACTGTAACTGACCTGCCTCCCTAACCCTTGATGCCGTTTCATCGATTAGTTTGGATTAGCCTCAATTCTGACAGTAGCTGACAAGCGGGTGCAATAACCCTATTACCTCTACCTATGCATTATTCCAGCAAAATAAAGTTGTAACTGCGTCGGCGCATTTTCTTTGGTTATACGAATTGTGATTCAGATATTTTAAGTTTTATTAAAGTTTATATAGAATATTACCTGCTCGAATGGGAAAGAGCGATACAAACTTCAATTTTCGTTTCCCAACATAAAGCATGTGTACGTATTATGTATGTACACGTGTGTACTTCACTATGAGCAACTATGAGTGATTTTACTCCTCGTAATACTTAATTAATACTACATTCTTAACCTTGTTTTTCAAGCAGATCAAGAAATGTCCTATGATTAAAATGCAACATGAAACGATTATAATATTATATGAGAAATTATTACATAGAATACTAAACTGATTTGAAATTAAAGAATGTTAAGTGCGCTTCTCAAGTTTTTTTTCGACGCAAAATAGTAATGGATTTCATGAGGTAAAAATTGAAACTATTGAAACCTTAATAGATATGATAAAGATTTGAAAACTGTATGAAATTGGTATATTATAAAAAAAAAGTAAATAATGATCTACGTCTTCAAACTATATGATGAATGTTCGGAACCATTCAGATTTATATAAGTATGTACCGAATATACTACTGTCTTCAAGTGTGTGTTAAGTAAAGTCGAAGTACAAATAGACAGTTTAGTTTTTGAATATTCTAATTATGCTAAATTATGCTTGAAAACAGGATAATTTTTGATATCATTATTTCGATTTGTATCTAGGGATAATTCTACTGCAGAGTTCACAATGTGCATGTGGTGTAGCAGTATGGCCGTCTATCTCCATTCGAACGAAGTTTGGAGGTAAGAAAATAATTTTTTTACTTTAAATAACAAGTGAACGGCCATTCGTTAACAATTTCATGTTCTGTCGTTTATATTTTAATTGATTTTTTACCTTTTAAAGTATAACACTAGCTGTATGATGAAAAACAGTTTATTGTGGAGAAGTGATAAATCTCGACCTTCAGCTGTAATGATGGGACGAATTTACTGGCCGTTCGTTTTGATTTATTTTGATGCAACTTAAAATATCTGTATATTACAGAACGTGAGATACAGGATCGTCAGGAAACGTAAAAATCACCGACTACAAAAATGGTAATCGGTGTGTTTCCTTTCCTCAAATTGGGCGTTCTGTTTGTTAAACAGATTAGCAAGCCCTTGGCACAGGTGATTGTGAACCAAGCCAAGAATCATCACATTTTTAGAACCTACTTCATCATACCTCCAGCACAATGTATGTCAAATATTTTATTCATAATTTTTATCATTCAATATAACAATAAATTAAATTTTTTTTATTGATTATCGGAGCAGTCTATCATTGGGCTGAAGTAAAAACAAAGATGTACTTAATGAATCTTGGAAAACCAACCAAGGTTGCAAAGCTAAACGAAACGATGGCAATAGAATTAGGTGCCAGTTTGATGGGAGAGGTCATTATCTTCAGTGTTGCCGGAGCATGTATTGTGTTGGAATATAACCGACAAGTTGCAAAGGAAGCTAAGAAAGAAGAAGCACGATTGGCACAGTTGAATAAATTTAATACTGATATAGAAGCTTTACAAAAAAGTATGGCAGCACATGATGCTGAGATTCGATATTTGCACACCCTTATTGAAGAACTTGCCAAGGACACAAAACACAAATTACCTGCTCGGAGTATATTAGAAAACAATCCTTTGGATATATCTCAAGCTTCAACAGATACTCCTGTGAAAAGAAACGAATCGACGACAGCACAGGATGACACCAAAAGTAAAGAAAGTGAAAAAATTTCACTAATTCAGCATGCTATTTCTATTTTTGAAATGACGATAGATGAATGACGTAAACGGGATCGATTTGCATAATTAACATTTTTGACACTGCGGTCCTGGTATTTAAGAAAAGCCAGGTAAGGCTGATTAGGAAAAGATTAAACGTATAAGAAGCAACTAGTAATTTCCTATTTATTTTATTTTTTCATTCTCTATTATGTTGTACAATATGTATATTTTATATCATTTTGATCATCTCCGCTGGTACGGGTTTATAATGGTGACATAACAGAGGCATTGTAGGACAAAAATTGAAACAATTTCATTCTGACAGCATATAATATATTACTGTCCGATTTAAAATGGAATTTCTTTTTTTTTTTAATATGTAAGTGTTATTCTCCATATCAGTCTTACCGATCACAACACCATAATGTAGATTGAGGTCATGTAAATAATTCTTATTACCTGTTTAAATGTAATTGCATATTACGGAATGTAATGTTAATAAAAATCTTAATAAAAGAAATTTAAAAAATATATATAGTCAGAATGACGAAATTCTTTATACCGTCAATTCAAGTTTATCCCGTCTCTTAACATTTTTTGTAAAGTATGAATTCTTGACTCAAGATTTCCAAAGTCAATTTCTAAAACCAATATCGTAATTTATAAACCTATTATTTTTTGAGTAAAAATTATTTATAAAGACCTTTAATTCCAAAACGACGCGACTTGGTAACTGTTCGCCGCGGGGAGTTTTTCGATTTCAAAGATTCCAGAGAACTGCCTGTTGATAAATATATAATAATTAATATCAAAAGAAATTTAACGAATGCAAATCTAATAAGAATATCATGTCTAATTATTTTCTAGAACTAACAATACCTCTTGACAAACTTGACACCTTAAAACGTTCAGAATCAGAAGGAGAACGACTTCTACTTCTAAAAACATTAGAACGACGACTTTGCGATGACACAGGAGGAGGAGTACGTCTTTTTAGTGCAGGACTGCCATCACCAGGTTTTCTACTAGCTAATTCATTGTGATGTAATTTCAATGTCAGTGCTAAATTCTCTGCTCGCAACTTTTTAATACGGGCTCGAAAATTTGCCCGCTCTTCAGCCACACTATTCTCCAAGGTCTTTATTGCAGCGAGTAACCGACGAACTCCTTTACCTGAATAATTAAAAATAAAATACTCAAGTCGAAAAATTGTACAGTATTTTAAAATCCACCAACCGCCACTAGCAAAATTTCGGTTTTCCTCCACCAATTTTTTATTAGCAATCGTCAATTGCTCTATTCGTCTCTGAAAATCCCGATTTATTCCAGTATTCTGAAGTTTCTCCACTTCTGCTTCTAGTCTTCTGATGGTCGCTTGCAAAATAGCTGGATCTGGTGGACCGCAGTATTCCAATGGCAATGGATAATGGATTCTTAAGGGGTTTGTTACGTTTGCAATGGGTTTGACGCTAAACTGCTGAATTCACTCACCGATCAAATTCTACTGTATATGTTAAAATGAGATAACGCCGATTGCTGGTCTTGTGGTTTAGGGTGGATGAGTTCGAACTACCTTCGATTCTACGAGAACGTAATAGTTCAAGATCCTTAAAGGTGAGAAGATCAAGACTTACACATTCACTGGTCTGAAAGATAAATTATCATATGCACCCTTAAAAAAGTAGACCATAGTTATTCTGCATGACAGATCATTATGCTATAATACCTTCAATAATCCAGACTGTAGCATGTTGACGAATATATCAAATTGTTTATAATTTCCTGTCTTGTGTGTTAAATTTTCAATATCTAGTATAAATAAATAAATTAATCATTGACTTTTGTAAACATACAGATATATATACTGCTTTAAGATTACGCGGTCTATTTGTTCCTCCGTACTAAATTCGCTTTGCGATAGGAGTATAAATTCCATTCTGTTAACTAATTATATTGACGATAATTAGATTATATGGAGTTAATTATAAAAACGGACAAGCAGTATCGTATGAAGATTGCCAATCTTCTGCTGTATATTTATCGGTGACAGTAAGTTCCAAACTCCGCTGACAACCTCCTTTGTATGCAGTGACTCTCATCTTTACGATGTGTTCTTTTCCACCTTTGAAGGTATAAGTAGTTACTAGATTTGGGCTAGTTTCATTCATCGCCCGGGTTCGCGCAATAAAAGTTTTTTCAAAAACAAGCGGTGGATCGCTGGAACGAATAAACGTTATTCCCGGATGTCGCGGACTACAAAAACTTCCCTTGGAAGTCGTAAATTGGTTATGGGTTGACACTCCTGTGGGCCATGGTGTGACATATGTATAAAATAATTCACCAATAAGATGGTGCTGCGATTATGATTTATGTGCGCACGTCAGTTTGGCGCTGGACGAATCAATGTGAAATTAGCAATATAACTTCGACTTATATTTTTGCTTGTTCTATTGAGGGAAAACCGTATTCGATGTGTTAAAAAGCCAGCTTCAAGGTTTAAATTTTATTTTTGATTTTTCGAAAAACTGTTCAGAGATGAGTACTAGTACTAGTATTCATCTCTGGTTCCATCACTAAATTTTTTAATTACTGTAATACCAAAAAAAGAAATTTAATAATACCAATAAAAGACCAACAATTTCATAGAACAAGTACACATTTCATTAGTAGAAGTGTAGCCCTATTTCATATAAGCGGGGACTGCAACCGATATGACGATGAATGATATTTTTTCAATATGTTCGTGGTCGCAGTATGGTCTGATTAAAGAAAAACAAAATAATAATACCTAAGCGCAAATCCGGTACCTCATGAATGCTAGGGCCCACGTGCCCGCAGAGGCCGGTACGTTTTTCATGTAAATACTCGCTTCCAACTTATGGTTATGTTTCATCTGCCCGTTTTGTCATTCACGAGCGCTCGAGAAGGAGAAACGCTCGCTGATTTATATATTTATTGTATGTATATAATATAATAAAATATACATAGTCAGAAACAATCATGTATTGTTTAGATCCTGAGGCAATTAATAAAACCAATAAGCATAGTGAGCAAATCAATATAAAAAAAAATAATAACCGAGTTTCGGATCCCAAGAATTCTGCGTGCTAATCATAGCACCATGCACGTATGCTGTTCAGTTACCGTAGTAAATAAGTCGGGAAACATATTTCCGTTATTACCCACGCTTGGAGTTTGCTTGAGGTATATTTGGTAGATATACTCAACCAATCAAAAGACGTAGGTATGTTTCAATTGCTCTCCGTTCAAGTGGCACGTCAACGCCAAAATAAAATTGATTTTTAAAAAATCGGTCCACTGCCAATCCCCAAATAAAAAGTACGTTCTGATTACCATTTTTGATTTCAGTTTTCCACTGTAGACCATCTCTTGATGGTCATGTTTGCCATTGGTATATTTACCATATAAGCCAACTGCTTCTACTGCCACCTTTCAGAATTTTTAGTAAACATATAACTTTCCCTGACCGTTTCTCTGAATTAAACGTGTTTGAACGTGTTCAACCTGTTGATTGACCACTTGAAAGAAAAAGGACTTATTGATTTTAATAACTTTAGGATTTGTTACTGGCACATCTACTCATTGGAGGAGTCAGCCATAAGGGAAGGAAGGAAGGATTCTAATAACTCGTCTGAAAATTTAGACAGAATTTTAGTGAGTTGTGTTGTAATAATTATACAATATTCACGTGAATTATGGTCAGAACAAAGGCCGGTTCCAGTTCAGCGAAAGGTAAGAGTTGTCAAAATATTATCATTTGTTCCAGCAACCCGTAAACAATGAACGCTTTAACGCTCTGTTATTTTAGCCGTTGGTGCTAAGGCACCCCATAAAGTGTCAAACACGGCTGCTTTACGTTCATCTGGTTCGTCAGAGGGAGGAGGCAAGGGTAGGTATGTTTTATTAATATTGAAAATATATTTTTTATAATTCACTATGTCTTTTTTAGGAAGAGATTACTCTGGAGGAAATCCATACCATCCACGTGAAACCCCCAACTGGCAAAAGCCTATCACGTCCTTCTTTCAACAAGAAGCTTCGAAGGACAAAGAAGAATCTACTGCTTCGGAAATTTCTGCCTCTTCTATGGTGAGTATATCGCATACTTAACTTGTCTTCCAGATAATTAAGCTTTCTTATTACTATGATAGGATAAGGATATTGCGCAATCACCTACTGAGAAGAGCGATGATTAAGCTGTACGTATGTCTAATTACCACTTGGATACTGTTCTCTATAAGGCTATTATATATGAAATAAATTTAATTTATTTTTTTATACAATCATTATATGCTGACTAACCAATATCTAATATATTTGAGTTTGTCTTTACTGGTCAACGCACAGTACAAAGTTGCAAGGTGAGAATGATAAAATCACAATTTAATCAGGATTCCTTTTATTTAATCAATTTCTGTTTTATAGAAAACATCTACGAAACACATATGCTTAAACTCTGTTGGCATTGCATTGCCTCCTTAAGAAGCGACCTAGGCTAAAAAAATCTACCTAAATATTCTCTTTCTTTTCTCTCATTCTCTCTCACTCACACACAGTGGTGTCGTTGCAATAAGTCTCATGGAGATAACAGAACTTTGAGGGGTTTGCGCTCGTTTACATATCTGTCTCTACCTTGAAGTAGTATTTATGTATGTCTGCTGTGTGCATGACATACAGTAGGAGATGTAAGGTGGAAAGGGTTGGAGCAAAATGTGCGCTACGCCATCAAGTCAGAATTAACACATCGGTTTTTTATACTGGTTTGTTTGCTCGTCGCGTTAAAGATTTTTCTATTTACAGTGGGGTCCCCAAATTTGCCATTTATGTAGAACTTGCCAGAAATAAATAAAAATGATAAAACCCTAAATTCACTGCCTTATTTGAAGTTGTATCTCTCGATGTTGATAATCTCCGAAATAAAATATCACTTGCGTCTCCTATTCATGCAAAAATATTTATTATTAAAACGATTCGTCGAAAGAAAAATATTATCAGAAATATAGAATTATCATTTCGAGTCATTCGCGTTTTGCAATACAAAATGGCTAGGTAGGGACCTTTTGGCAAAAACGTTCGCTTAAACTCATTAATCTCTAGTCAACAATACGTAACGACGTACGATTCAGCAACAACAAGAACAACAACAACAATGGATATTATCGCATGTATCTTTCGGATTTTGGAACACGCTTTACAGGGCGTCTCTATAGAGCCTTACAAAAGTCTTACGTTAGCTTTCTTCAGCGAATGCTTCTAGGGGAATGTGTTCGTGATGGAGATATACACTATATACTATGTACGCTTCTTGGGATATATCTTGGAAATTGTTCCATTCTGTTAAACTCCTTTTTTTAAATGTTGTTTACGGGTCCCTTGTAACATGATAGTGTTTGTCGATACCAGTCCTTCTTTTCTGGGCATTGTCAATTCTGTTGATATTTGTGGTGTCCTAACCTAATAATAAAGCGAATTTTCTTTGTGACTGTCAAAGGTTTGAGGGTCGGTTTTAGGTTCGATCTACTCTTTGTCTCTTACTGAATTATTTTTATCTATCTAGTTTCATCATTAAAGGGATCGATGCGACTTTGTGCGTCATTCGGTAACGTCTTCGCTTAATCATTAGTCCATCCATTTCTCGCGTTTCCTCAATGCTAATATTCTTAATTAGCCAAGACGGAACAAAAAAGAAGTAAGCTGCGACTAGTGATTCATTCGCCGCATATCCATGGATGCGATATCATCAACGGATATGAGCTTTTCTATAGGGATGCAGGAGAGTTCTCCGCCTACGCATGATTGCGGCTGCTGCCATCGGGCTTCCCTCTCCGCTTCCTTTGCCTTTAAGTCGGCCTCTCTGGCTCGACGCTCCTTTAATTTTAGAGAGAAAATAGCTACGGAACGTGCCCTTTTCATCAGACTCTGCTTGACTCGTGTCTTCTTCGCCTCACGTTCCTCTGTCGATGGTTTTTCATCTTCTTGACTGGATACTGTCCTACTTGAGTCTGATAGACCACCACTACCACCACTACCGGCACCAGCACCACTAACACCATCTTTCTCTCTCTCGGTCAGGTGCAATAAACGATCTCGATGATCCTGGGACTCGCGTTGATGATATTGCTGATGTTTATTCTCTGACCTTTCTCTTTCACGTTCTCTTTCTTTTTCCGGTGAGAATCGGAACTTCTGATTTCTGTGAGCCATTGCCCATGGAGGAGCTGAACGCAGAAGGTCGCTATCTGATGAGGAGGCCAACTCTTTGGAGACGATACAGTCGGTTGATTTGTGTAGACTGAACTCATCGCCACTTCCGCCTCCTGCTCCCACACCGCTGATCTCAGAATCGCTTGATTTACGACCTCCTGGTTCTACTAATCCTAATCGACGGACCCAATCGACACCGCCATGAGGGCCGATCGTTAAGTGATGTCCGTAGTCGGATGCTCCTGGAGATGTTTCTTGTTCGTTTGATAACCAGTCTCTGGAGCGTCGTCCTACGAAAAGCGAATAACGCATTCGGTATATAAAAATGTAAAAATATCAAGGTTTCTTAAAGTTGACTGATTTACCTCGTTCTCCTCCAGGAATGGATGCCCTAGGTGTGTTGTGAAGATCACGGGTACCTCCTAATCCATGATCGGAAAGAATTGGAGTGCTACTCTCACTTCCACTTCCTGCACCAGGTGATTCGGCTGGCGGTGGAGTCTCTGCGATTCTAGGTATCATGCTTGTTATCGTAGAGGTTGGCGTCGGTGATGGCGTCGGCGGATTGCTGAGGTTTGGAGTAGTAGGTTGACTCGATGATACCGAAGAATTCACGGTCCTTTCAGAATGAAGATTTTCTTGCTCCACGGATTGTTCTCCGTCTGCTGCACTCACCACGAATCTCCCTGAGTTCGCGTCAAATTTATATCTCTTCTGCCATGTTTAGTTCACGACAGATCATTTTCTATTATGGTACAGTATTCTTATGGATTTACCTATAACTGTGGCTGGCTGCTGCTCGGGTGATGGTGTTGAGGATAGTCTCCTCACTGCTTCCCTCCTCAAGAATTCAACCTTAGCCATTTCTGTTGCGACCCAATTTGGAATATCAGGAATTGCACAGATTATCACGAAGCGGATTGCCAGCATAATGTGTTCCAGGGCGACGATGAGGAGGATCGTCTGTGTCGCCGACATCTCCGGAAACATCCTCTGCACCTGACCGCTTAATCCGATCAAAGCACAATTCACCAGGATAGCTACCAGTCCCATAGCCTCCATTGCATTCTGGAATTCAAATTTGAACGTCACCGGATATGTGCTGTTGTCAACAACTCCATCATTTTAATGATTGAATTATCACCTGCCAGGTTCCAATGTTTGAGACACGTCGACCAAACGGTCGTTGAAGAACGAAGCATAATTTGAAAGCATCACCACGCAATTCCAGTAAGTTTCCCAAGAGAGCAGCCATTGCAGCTAGAGGGAATGCTGAAGAGAAGAGACACACGTAGCCCAACTGCGACAGCATTTCCAAGTGTTCAGAAAAGGCCCCATCGTACTGAAAATAATAATAGAGAAAATCAAACTAAAAAATAAATTACTTATTTCTATCTTCAAGTCCACAGACTGTAATTAGAGTATTTCTATCAGTATAAAGATACTCGTGGTATTTTTTTCTTATTGTTTGATTGTCTGGTATTCTAGTTTTTCTATTTCTAGGAACTGTCCAAACTCTACGTAGATTATTCTGTTTATAAAGCATCACATGACACAGATGGATCAAAATTCCACGAGTTCACAATATACTATGTGGGTGCATTGATTGTACAGGAGTGAACATATTATTATAACTGTGATAATTCGTGATATTCGTGAGTCTCTCAAAAAAGAAATAAAACTAGCAAAATAGCAAACGATTTTCCTTTATTAAAATGAAGGATTGGATGAGTGATATTACCTTTTTCGTCGGTACCTGCGCTTCGTTGACGGAATTGAATGAAAAAAAAAAGTGGTTAACAATTTTGCAAGCAACGTTTCAAACAAAAAAACAATACAACAACCAGTCAAACAGTATAATCATTTCCAATCACAAAAATAAAAAAACTTTAAAAAATTGAAAGCAGGTAAAGAAAACCGTTCAAAAATGAAAATAGAGAATAATAAGAAGTCAAAGCGTGCGCAAAAGTGAATGATAGAAACATGCATGAGATATAAATAATTAGGAAAATTAATGATTAGAATTTTAAATTCGAATGAAATACTCATAGGTAATTATACTCCTCGTGTCCGTTGACAAAATTTTTCTCATAGAGATTAGAATATTTAAACTGTAGATTCAATAGAATTATAGGAAGTGTCGTGTCGTATCAATCATGATTAGGATATGTTTAGAAAATGATCGAGGATGATCGTCTAAGTCTAGATCAAACCTTGAACGTAACGTCACTAAGTAGAGAATTTGAGAGGTGTCCTACTCTGTAGAGAGAACTCTCCAATTCAGCTTGGCTAACATTTCTCGGTTGTTTCCCACGTGCTGACTCATTTTTCTCGTCCTTGTCTTCAGCATCCTTAGTATCCTTGGAATCCTCATCCGATCTTGCAGTTTTGGTACCAGTATCAGCTTCACCAGGGGGTGCACGCGCTTCGCTCGGACTCAGGGCACCAAACAATTCGAAACTCAATCGAGCCAGTCGCAATTGTTCTATAAAATATGGCACAGCAGATTCCTTAAGGTTTCCAATGACTTGTCTAGCAATTAAAAGTGCTGCCAATTGCTGAAAGTACAAAGTCAATTAATCAGATTAAATATTAATTCAAGTAAAAGTCGAGAGTCCTTACCTCTTTTAGTCTTTCCTGATCTTGCAAATAGAATGCTATGTAAAACAGCGAGAGGAACGAGTTGACGAACTGAAACTAAAAAGAACATCCAAATAATTGACTTTATTTTTTATAAAAGGCTCTAGGATTTTTACTTTATAATATCAATTATGTAGCGTGCAATTCAATAATTGGATGTGCATTCTTACGAAAAAAAAAAATCAATAAAGTGTACAAGAATTTACAATAGGATTGACATGCAGCGACAGAGACAGCCAGAGCGCTACGGTTTTTGATCAAGGAATTAAAAGAGGGTACTATTGTCACATGGGATATAGATCAATTATATAATATTTTCTACACTCTTAATCGTTTTATATATCGTTTATGATTTTTTTGTTCCACTGCTTCGACACAGAGTTTCTTTTTTGACATTAATTCAATGTCACGTGCATAAAAGATAAGCCTGTGTGTGGTGTCTCTTCTTGCTCATAAAAAGAAAAGTCCGTGTCATTACCAGTGCCACCTTGTAGATTAGATGATTCTCGTATTCGGTGTCGAGACGATAGTTTTCTGCGTCCAACACACAAAAATCATAGATACTACCATATGCTACGACAGATCATCTATGAATCTATGTTATATAATAATCGTATGTATACTAAATGGTTATGATTAAAGTGAAGGAGAATTCTAGTCTATCCCATGGATCAGAATCCAATAAAGGATTCAAAGGCTATGCACATATTTACAGATAATCACTACAGAGAAGATGTTTTTATTCGGTGAGTCGTTCTGATAAATCTAGAAAGATAAGCTAAAGCTGTAAAGAATAGATGATAATAGTAGATCGCGAAATAATCTAGAATAAGTTATCTAATCGTGCACAGAGTGAATCACAAGGATTGACCAATAATCACTGGTATTTGAATCAAGATTATAAAGGACTGATCATAACCATTGATCCATATTTGACACAGAACCACGATCAATCACTTGGACATGAATTGTGAATAGATTGTTGAGAGGGAGGACAAGTTTCTTTAATGATAATAAAAAAGGTGTAAGAGAAAATAATAATGAAACGAGTCTTGAAGAGTTTACCTAAATCATTAAGCCAGACTGCAACTTTGAAGTACGCCTCATCCATTAGCGTTATCACCACAGCCAGCAATACTTTTGGTACATAACTCAGCCAGAATCCATAACCACCAGATTCAAGTCCAGCATCCCACCAATCCTGTAAGAAAAAAAAAAGATTTTCAAGGAAAGAAAGAGTTTGAAGCGGAAGTGGTTCCTGAAGTTTTCTATATACCTGTATTTGAAAGCTGAGAATCATGACAATAAAGACGAAAAGCAAACAGGTGATTATTATTGGGATGCTGACAAAGTATCGGAACACGTTCCTCCTCCATCTGGGATAAGTCGGCTCCAATCTACCCGTCACCGGCGAAGTTTCAAGAGTACCCTTTGATGAATATTATGATCTAGTAATTTTCATGTCAAATAAACAGATACAGGAAAAAATAAGTTTTTTACTGTGAAAAGAGGTCTAGGCTCCAGGAGAAGATCATCCCTCTGGTCCAAAGTTCCCCATCTATAGGCCAATTCAGCTCCCCTACGTTTCCATGTCTCTAAATATACAGTAGCCCAGATTACGTTGAAGACTGAGAAAAGAACGTAGGCCACGTCTTCCACCGCCTGGTTCCGTCCAATGATGCCGACCTAGAATGATGAATTGAAGTCAAGAGAAATTCTAAATTATTCGTTTATTTGGTAGTTTTAATTGGTTCATTTGATAATCTTACTGACCCAGTATATGACACCCACTGCAGCTGGAACTATAAGGGCGGTGGTATAGTGCCCTAGCCATGCAAAATACATACTGATCTTCACGCCAAAGTAACGACAGATATCATCAAGAGGCTGCGGACTGAAAAAAGCCCGTACCCACGTTCTCTGGAGTTTCTCCAAGGCTGGTAATTCGTGAAGCGGAAAGACCTGCATTAAAGTCACAATCAATTTAAATAGATGAACAATTAGTTAATAACAGCATAACGAATATTCTCTTTTGAGTAACCTGAGAAATTATTCCGGCCGAGATACATTTAGGTATTATTGCCTGACCCTCAACCATCTTCAGACCCGGTAAGCTGTGCAAATCCTGCGGTGCGGCTCGAAGCGTGTGCAAAAGGTGTAAAACCAAGGATTGTCGTTCCTGGGTTGTGAAGAATCGTGCCTCATCGTCGTAACCCTCGAAGCAGCGTGCTTCTGAGCCAACGAATTCTTTGAGTCCACCGCCAAATTCACGGTGAAGAGTTTTCGGTAAGTGTACTTCCTCCGCAGCCTTGAGAAGTCTGTAATTTTCATAAGATATAACAGAATATTCCTTCTACTTAATAACCATAACTTCTATTTTATACTCACACGGGGAATGGTGCTGTTAAATAAAATCCATAACTATCGGAAGATGCATGATGTCGAACATGAACAACCAAACCCGGTGTACCAGCACGTAGCCGTCCTAGTAGCCACATTAACGTCTCGTCTCCTGTTCCACTTGGGAACATCATCACCACATCGCATTCCTAATGAACAATTACAACAGTATAATCAAACCGTCACCCTAAAATTATTATATTTTTTCAATTTAAAAACATTTTAATTTACAAGTGCGTATAAGAACAAACCATTCAAATAGAGTTCTAGAATGGTTTTATAACACCACGTGGCTTTGGTAGTTCGTCGTTTTGAAACAGATGGCGGTAGTAGTAACCATAAACAGGTGCTGCCACCAGTTATAAGTAACGATCACTACTGTAATTAATATTCTTTTATAATTCTCTTTCAGTATTGCCACAACACAGAGGCAAAGCATGACACGTAATAACAAATGCCCCCTTTTGTCCAATTTGAATTCCAAAAAAAATTTTGCCATTAATAATCGCAAAGGAACGATTTTTCATAGAGAAGAAAAAAAAATAAAAGAAAAAACTTTACGAAAAACTCAATTCAAGGGAAAGCAGTGGTCTTATCAATATTCCTAACGGTAAGTAAACACAGCTTAATCATCTGCCTTTGAGTATACAGATTTTTGTAGAAGCGGACAAAAACAAATGTTCCTATTTGATACTTCAGCATCATAATTATAAGGTTCAATACGTGCCACGAATTCTGGCGTGAGGTATGAGGTATGCCCATTATTCTGGCCCAGCTCCAAATACCGAATTTCCGTGTAATGTTATCCACTACCATTCCAGCCTGACCTACTCGCCACTATAATTCCTTCTCTACTAACATCTCCAACATTTCTACCCTCCGCTCCTTCATCGTCTCTTAGTTTATCGGGTCCTCGCCCTCGTCATCCATTTGGATCTGTAAATTCTATTCAACTCTGCCCACTGCAGTTAGTTCTGCCAACTAGCTGGCAAAATCAGATAACAGAGTTATAGAATTCAGTTTAATGCATCCTCAGAATATCATAAATGAATAGGGTAACTGATAAACAGATACGCGCGCATTTGTTATGTTGTTAAGAATAAAGAGATGCTCTATGCAAATGGGGGCCAAGAGAAAAGAAGATTAACAATGAAATTCAATAGAAAGAAGGGCGTTGACGTTCGGGACGAGTCGTTTTAGAACGAATGGTAATGTGTCGTAATGCCAGGAACGTTAACCGAATCGATAGGCGGTTCGTTACTTAATAAAGAAGAATGTAGCGAATGGCGCACACGCAAACACAGCATCGTGCGAACGGGCGCGATATTATTCATACGAAAAAAAAGAGAGGGGAGAGGCCATGCGAAGGAAGGTCATTATCTGGATTATAGATTAAAGCGTACATATCTATAATAACAGTAACGAACCTGAGTTGGAACCTTTTGTATCCATAGGCGGCGGGGGGTCATCAAGTGGCCGGTACATGGTATCTTCCGTCTGAGAAGACGTGATGCTAAAAAGTCATTACATATTCGATAAGATAATGAACAATTGAAAATAACATAGATCGATAACGTGTTATACAATTATTACGTACCAAAAGGATCGAGGATGTTTTATTATTTGATATAAAAAAAATATATAACATTTAACTGTACTCTATGGAAATCATATATGGGAAATGTATGTACCGGAAGTCAATGGTGCCGACGAAACAAAGAATTGGAATATATACAATGATTGTATTCGACAAAAGAAATATTGAATGATTTGAAATATATGTATAATAACATAAAGACATAAAAACGTGTATAAGTTATAATATAATATATATACTTGCCCTTGTCGAGTGTTTCTTTGGCCGCGTGTATGACCTTCCTCCGTCTAAGTCCATCCAAGGGTGCAACGTTAGCGCTGGTCATCCTGTCATTGTTACTGATAGTCTCGACGTTCGTCGTAGAAGCGTTTTCGAGAAGATTGATCGGGATAGTAGACCCCTCGCCGCCTGACATAGTGTCCCCCACGGTATCACCTGGAGGAATCCTTTTCTCCCCCAGTGGCACTGGCACTGCCACTACCACTGCCACCACTCCAACTCTCTATCCCTTCTCTGCTCTCTCCTACCCTTTAACGAACTTGTCTTCCAACGTGCCACGCTATCCTCTCTGTTACACTCAAGTCCTTGTGTACTCCAACGCGCATGCGCACGAACTGAATTCCTTCTCGGGCCCTCTCATCCCTCTTTGAAGCCCTCTACGGTCGAACCTCTCGCCATCTGATGGGATAATGGCGAACCTAGCGGAAGCGATCAATGAGAAAACTTCCCCTCCAATGAGTTCTCTCATATAGCAGTATGTACAACCCTCTCTCGTGACGAGAAGCGTCTGCTTGTAGAGACTCCTAGGATTAGGGTGCATATGGATAGGGATGGATTCGTACCTAAAATCTGTGGATAAGCGTAGGCTAAAGAAACTCATAGAGAGAGGTGAAAGATTCGAGCAGAAATAGAAAGAAAAAACATTAAGTGCGAGAGAGGGAGGAAGAGGGTGAGAAGCAAAGAAATGTTTCAAGATCCTTGGGGGTGAGTTGATTCAGGGTGGATTACTCGAATCTACCGAAATTGTCCCAGTCAGCTTGCGGGGTGGGATGGGCCTTTACTGACGATCAAACTGTGAGTGTGTAAGGTTTATTTTCTAGGGGATACATACGTTACACAATATTTATATATGCTCCACGCGTTTATATCTTACAGACGATTTCTCAATGTATCCATTTTTACACGTGTTACATATTGGAACCATGAACAAAGATTTTTATTAAAATTCTTCACGTTACAATAAACGATTTACATGAATTTTATTAAATACTTATGCTTAGGTTAGACATACGTGTCACTATTAATTAAATCATTAAATACGGGGTGAGTCTTCGCGACTCTCTCGCTAGATTTTAATCTCACATTTTCACGTACAATCAAATTCTAGCAGACACACATTTACATACGTACTATCAGGCATTATCTCATTGTCATTTTTTTTTCAATAATTTAATCGATTCGATCGGTAGTTTCGATCTGTAGGTTAACCTAAGATCTTCGTGATGTACCTCAGGGCCGTTGTGCTTCAGACGCTGCCGTTCTCTTGAAATTTCATCTCGGGTGAATCTCCTTCTTCGGTTTTGTCATTACGCAACGGCCTCTGTAACAGATTTCTGTCATATGGGAGACCTTCGTCGTGGTTGAAGTTCTCAAGATTCTACCCAAAGGAGATTCCGTGGTTGTCGTTCCCGGGATTTCTGTAGTCAGTTCATCTGGTGGCACTGGGACGTTTGGAGTCGTTGATACTATCTCTACGACCGTCGTATCCTCCGTCGGATCGAACGTCGACATCGGCTGCGTGGCTCCAGTCTCGGTAGTTGATTTCACTTGATCAATTAAATTATTATTGTCGTCACCTCCATGCTCTTCAATTTTAATCTTGGATTCCACTTCTTGCTTCTCTAATACTTCATCCACTTCCGGTACCATTCTCTCTGTAGTGGTCATCGGTGCATTAGTCTCTGAAGTTGTTTCCTCGCCCTTTAATCTCTCAAAGATGGCTTTCACGTAATCGGAAAGGACTTTGACATCGGACTTTGACATTTCTTTTGTTTCAGGAGCGAAAGTGCTCACCTGTGTATCGACGATCATTCCGTTTGAGAAATTCGTGTTCATCGGAATCCAGGATGCGATTTTTAAATAATCAAGGTTGGACTGCTTCGTTAGATCCTGTACTTCGCTCCATTTGCTCCTATGATTTTTCGGATGATCAGCGTCCTCTGTGTCAAGAATAATACTTTCAGCTGGAGTGGTCATCTCGTTCTCGGGATCTTGGACATTATCGTTCATCGTAGTCGGCAGTAATATAGTTCCTGTAATAGCCAAAGGTTCCTGGGTCGTTGTTGCAACATCAGGAATAGTTGTTTCCATGGTCGTTGATGGTTCTGGACTCTTGTCAGTCTTAAGCATCTCTTGGAAAAACTCGTTCAAGATGGATTGTTCTGGTTTCTCAGTGGTTGTCTGTTCTAACCGATACATGTATCTATCTTCCCCCAGACTGTTTACTACCGACGTGTAACGATGTGATTCCGCAGTTACAAAGTCACCACTAGCAGGTCTCACGCGGACTCTGACCCTCCTTCTCCTTGTTCTATCCTTCTGCAGCATCTGGCAAGTAAAGGATTTGTGAAAAATACTTTTACTAATATTTTTTATTTTTATTAAATAATAAATATATTCACATTTGCATTACCTTTCTATCTAGAGGATACTCCAGGTATGTTTTCTTCACAATTTTACTCGTTTCTATGACTGTCTTATCGTTATCAGAAGTATCGGTGATGGTTGTAGGAATAAGAGGGGTAGTGGAGTTGATAGTGTCAGTCGGTTCCGTAGGAATGGTCGTATCCAAGCTAGTAGCATCTTCTTGCATTTTTTTTCCAAAAATGTCTTCCATTCCTGATATATTCTCATGCTCAGTGCTGCTATCGATCTTGGTAGAATTTTCAGCAAGATTAGGGAATTTATCTTTTCTCTCGTGATTTGACAAGGTTGATTCATTCTGAATTTCGTCACCCTGTTTTGCAGTCACGAGTACTGTTATGGATTGCACTTCCGGTCCTGCAGTGATAATCTCAGGATATTCCTGATAAATGGAACGCCCTTTGGAATCCTTCGAATCATTGGATAATTCATCGTTCGCAAGACGATTGGGTAAATAACTCGGTTGGAAGGATGATCTAGTTAATTTACTCGACCATTGACTCTCTGCTCCCTCAATATCCGTTACTGCAGAATAACGGGTATCGGACACTTTAGATTCTTGATAATAGTTTTTTCCACGATTACTGGCTAATTGGGTTTGATCATATTCCTCTTTTTCTGCCAATTCTGCATTAGGTATTCCTCGAAAATTAATGACGAAATCTTCCGACTGAAAAATAAAAAAAATCCAGATTTAATGACTCTTCGATTATAATGACTCGATAAAAAAATCCGTTTATTGATACTTACATTACCATTGGGTTCAACCTGGTGCAATGAACCGGATCCTCGATTGTACGACAGAGAAAGTTCACCGTGACTTTCGAAATTTGGACTATTAAGATTATCCTGCCGAGGAATTGTCTCAGGATTAGTTCGAAGAGTTCTAGGATAATTCTCATCAATAGGCAATTCGTTATCGTCGGTAGGATTTTCCGTTGAAGTAGTGGTACTAGTGGTAGTGTTAAGTCGTTTTTTTCCAGGTCTTCGGATCCTTCCACGAGTCCTTGGCACTTTTGGCTCCTCGGATCTTACTTTGGTATTCACTGTAAATCCACTCTCATGCTCAACAGCAGCACCAGTGGAACTGATCCTCGGCGTAGTGATTATTTCTGGAGTTACAGTGGTAGACTTAATCGTAGCCCTCCTAGGTGGAGGTTGGTAAGTCTGACGATTTTTCAAAATTTCTGCACGAACTGGATGAGCTTCCCCCGAGGCAGTATCCTCCACGACGCGTTCCTGGTATTGATTATTCGCTGGTACAAAAGTCTGATAGTTCGTGACCACCGGATGTATAGGTTGAAAATTTGGTGGTCTTATAAAACCATATTCAATTTCGGATTCCGGTTGTTGAGTGGTTGTTGTCGTAGTAGACGTGGTGGTCGTCCTCGTGGTAGACCTTTGATACTGAGTAGGTGCTTGAATCCTTACGTATTCATTTTCATCTGTCTGAACTTGGGGATGAGCTTGCTGAGAACGAACCCTTGGTCTCGTTTTCAATCTACGTCTGGGCCCATCTTGATTTATAGGACTAAAACGAACGTATTCGTCCTGACCATCGCGAGAACGAGTTTGAACAATTGAATCCTGCTGAACTCGTCCTCCGACACGTCCTCGAATTCTTTGACGTCCCGCGTTCGTAGGTGGTACAGACGTTGTTGTGGTTGTCGTCGTTGTTGTTTGACTCAAAATCTACGATAAACAAATGCGTATTTATTATTATCAGAACAATTTGAGAATTATGTAAATCTCGTTTTACCTCTTCGTGGGATCCACTCGACAGGATTCTTTGAGGATATTCCGCCTTATTCGGGTGACTGTTATTATCGTAGCTAAGCCCCTGATCAGACACTTGACTTTCTCCTGTAGGGAAGTATTCCTGTACAGGCTGAGATCCAAAATTTCCTTGCAACGCTGCTGCCTCATAATTTTTAGGATCACTGTCAGAGTTAATCTTTACAGGTGTCTCGGTGCTGCTGGAAATTTTCTCACGATCATATAAACGTTCCTTAGGTCTGTAAGACATCGTGGGAGTCGGTAAAGACTCCACGGTTTGAGCTTGATAATTAAATCCATTCACAGGATTGTCCTCAAGATGTGGCTGCCCGAAGTTGGCAGAGGATTGAGGTCCTGCGTAAGGAACATTCTCCGTTGGGTTAATGTCCTGTCGATATTTTTGTACTTGACTTGATTCTCCGCGCCAAGATTCGGCTCCGTTAGATTCTGTCAAATCTTCTCTACCTATAGGTGTAGGACTCAGCGTACTTTCAGTGATCGATGAATAATTTTCCTGAGGACTTGGAACAGGAGTCGATGAAAGATAATCATCCTGTGTATTATAAACAGGGACGTTTGGATTGAGTGCAGGTGCACTGGGTTCTTGTTGTATATCGACAGTTGCACTAGTTCCAAATGGTACAGTCTCTTGACTCAAGGCAACCACGATTTTTGGACGTTCCGCACGAAGCTAGGGAAATTTTATAAAAATACATAGAAAAGATTTTTTTATTTTCTTAATAAATCCAAATCATACCTCAGAATTGACAGTATTTTTTTCTCCACCACGTCCTCGGTATCTTTGACCCCTTACGGAAGAGCCGTTTGATTTTCTCGTATGATCTTGAATTCCGTACCTCTGGGTCATTTCCGAAGTTTTTGATTTAGACGATTGGTAAGTAGGTTCCGAGTATCCCTCGGTGGTGGTCGTTGTAAATCTTGACCTGGACCTAGAGTAAGGTCTTCGTGGTCTATCGGTAGTAGAATGAGTGGAAGGGCTCTGTGTACTCGTAGCAGGTCTCGTAGATATAACTCGTCCTCTAAGAAAAATGTTCTAATTAATAACATTTAAGTGAAACACTCGTATACTAATTATTGTATGCATACCGTTGCCTTCCTCGAATTCTATGTGTCGTAGTCGGAACTTCCGTAGTAGTCGTGGTGGTAGCAACTGTAGTCGTAGATGGTGAACTAGTTGAACTGACACCCTGGTGCTCAGGACGTTGAGAATCAAGTAAAGGATTTACAAGACCAGGTAGATGTGAAGAAATCACTGGCAACTCCGCTGGTAACGTATACTGAGTTGGTCCTGATAGAATTGTTCTGGTATCTTGGGAAATTCTCGTGGGTGCAACTTCATCAATGTGATCAGGACGTTCGTTCTGATTAAATTTATTTAATATTTGTCCCTGATTAAGGGAATGGTAACGATTTGCATTCTCTATTGTATTTCCGGAAGCAGTGACTGCTTCTTGTACTTCCGGATTGTTATAATGCTGCTGGGCCAGTTCCTGGTTAATCAGAGCCAATTGTGCTGCTAGATCCTGTTGCTTGGTAGCTTCTTCCTGAGTTCCTAAAATGTCATAAAATAATGTAAATATTATAGAACGTGTGATTTACTAAATTTACTTCTCAGAATTATTTTTGTTAATTTATTACCGGAAATTTTATCGGAATAAGATGGAGTGGTAGTAGCACTTGATGCTTCAGCGTAATAAGGCTTGTGATTCTTGTGATTCGGGTCAATCAGTTCATCTTGATAAGAAGATGGAGCTGGAGTCGTACTGGAATAAACTGGCTGATTGGCCTGATTGTTGCTTTCATAATTTTTCGCACTTGGACGATTATCTCCATAGAATTGTCTATATCTGTATCTACTTCCGGAAGTAGGAGTAGCAGAGTACCCAGTGTCGTAAGTGGGTGTAGTCGAACGAGCGTATGCCGGATTAGGTGTAACTTCCGCAGTGGTTCCGGAACTCTCAGCCGTATAAGAATTGGGTTCGATAAGAGGGTTGGGTCTTATCCTATGTCTATTGATGATTCCATCATCAGTTATCTGAACTTGTGACTCCTGCTTGCTCTCCTCGATAGAGCCGCCATTGGTCAATTCATTATCCACAGTGTTAACGACGACGGAGCCAATATGCGGAGCCGGAAATGGTATTTTGGAGTAACCGGGTGGAGGATTGAAGCTCAACGGTGCGACAAAGAAGGGCAACTTGTCGACCTTTCGTTCCACTCGATTATTCTCAATACTCGACAGGTAGGGTAGATCGAATTTTGCAAACCCATTGGGTGGATCCAAATTGCTGGGTCCCACAAAAACGGACGGTGCCTCTAGACCCACTGAATCTAATACAGATATGGTTTTGGCATCCTTAAGGAGCTTGAGGACATCCGATACCCTAACGTTCTTCGTATCCATATTTATATGACCCATGTAAACGGACAAGGGTGGCTGATTTGGCGATGGCGAAGGAGTCACACCTGATGAATAATTATCTCGAGGACCTTGAGAACCTTGAGAAGTCTGAGATCCTTGAGAAACATTCGCATTCTGGCTGCCAGTAGTCACGTGTCCCCGAACACGTTGTCTACCTCGAACTCTACTTTTTTGTCTTGTATTTTCCGTCAGATGCTGAATGTGATGTTGAGGATTTCTGACCAGAGCTTCAGCACGGTGTCTTCCGAGTACTACGTCACTATTACTTCCTGCAGCTTTATCCTGCTCTTTGGTAGGTTCAATGCTTGCTTGGATCTCAGCTTCCTTTTTTCTCTGTAAAACTGCCAGTCGCTCTATCTCCATTAATCTTTCTTGCTCCTTCTTACGTGCCTCTCTCTCAGACTCTTCCTTAGCCTGTAACTCCGCCATCTGCCGCTCGCGTTCCTGACGACTTCGAATCTCTTGCTGTCTCTGTGCCTCCTCCTGTCTTCTAATCATCGACTGTCGTTCCTGTTCCAGTCGTTGTTTCTCTCGTAATTCACGAATTCTTTCTAACTCTTCCTGTTTCGCTATTTCTTCCAGACGCTCGAGTTCCTTCTGCTTCTCGGCCTCCCGTTGCCGTTGTAATTCTCGTTCCCGGAGTACAGTCTCCTGATGAAGACGTGCCTGTCTGTCCAGCTCCTTTTGCTCCTCCTCCAACCTGGCTACTTCCTTAAGACGTTCTTCCTGCACCATACGATTCTTCATCAACTGTTCACGGTGTAGTTGTTGCAGTATTTGCCTCGCGAAATCTTGTTGAATAGTAGAAGCTCTTGGGGTACTTGATTCGATTTCAGGTAAGACTTGGGACTTTTCTTGATTTTGATTCTGATGTTGATACTGCTTGCGACTTCGACCTCTTTCCGAGTTTACTTGACTTCTCTGTGCTAGAGTTTCAGCAGGAACGTAAACCAGCTGTACCTGAAATATATAATTTAGATAACAAATACACGTATGGTATGTCTATATAATTTAATATTATTAATTAATTTTACTTCTTCGTTTTCATCACTGGACTCTGCAGGACCATTTGTATCTCTTTGATTATCATTCACATATTGTCGACCTTGTCCTGCAGCTAACTCCTTTGATGATTCTTCCTGAGATCCTTCTTCAATCTCTTCTTCGCTGTCCTGACTCTTCACCACATTCGAGTTCGTCTTGCTTGAATAACGTACAGAAGATGGGTTTTGGGACAGGAAACGTTGAGGCGGATAAACTGGAGGAAGCGCATCCGAAGATGGTACAGGAGGTATCAGGACTTCCGGTGCAAGATCCGAAACCGATTGTAGATTGGCAAAAGTACTTTGATGAAGAGCTTGTTTATTCTCTTCCGAATTCTTTAATCCGTTTGGTAAGAATGCCTGAGCCTAAAAATATACAATTCCCTATACACACTAATAACACATATACAGAAATATTTGGATATAAACTTTATAACACCCCCAATACCCATACCTGCAAGAGTTGCTGTTGCGTCCGAAGTTGTTGCTGTAATAAAAGAAGATTCTGAATGCTCTCCTGAGTCTTCTGAAGTTGCATAAGCTGCTGTTGATACTGTTGCTGCAAAGCCGGTGGTAACGCGAGTGGCTGAACTTGTGAAAAATGTTGATTAGCTGGACCACCTCCATTTTGAGTCAGTTGATTCTGTCCCGTGTGTGTCCTCGGACTAGCCAATGGAATCCAATCGCTATTAGACACTTGTCTGGACCATCTTTCACCCTGGACCCATCCCAATTGGGACCAGAAGGCGCAAAGGCCCACGACAAGGCTCAGGGCCAGCGGCCACCGACCTATCTGTAACAAAGAAAAATCTTAAATCAGCCGTCGCAACGAGTCCCAGAATTTGATATAACCTATTCATAGCACAAAGACACGAACTATTACAATCAGGCCCCATAGAGACGAGGGGCCTTTTAGGATCGTAGAAAGTTCGACAAGCAAAGGCAGACGGTAGGAAGAAAACCGCATCTGAAAAATTGTTAACCGGACGTATTCATAAACCTTAATAAATAGACACCCATAAACCGCCTCGTCTCCAGAATAAAGTTTCTAATGGAATTGCGGTTTGCAATCGAGAAGAAATTCATACCCAAAAAAAGGACGTGTTTGTCTGTCGACTGCATAACGTTTCGGCGAACGCCCAAGAGAAATGAAAGTAAGTATCTACGCAAGACCGAAAGGATCGTCGGCTTTTGCACGGTTCCCATTATAGTTGCACTCTACCGTACACTTATAAATATAACCAGAGATATTATACAATCGCCATTCTCTCGCACGACAAAGTAGCAACCTAAACTAGTAGCTACGATGAAATAAAATCAAGAAAACGGACCATACGATGACACAATAATGAATAAGTCTTGTTTTTGTAATATCTCTCCTATTCCAACATAACTATAACCCTTGTAACTGTTCGTGACTCCTGTTTATCTACGCTGTCCGCAACGCGATACCCCCGTAAATATTATTCGAATTACGATTAAGCAATAACTGCAACCCGAGATAAATGTTTGTTAAATGCATCGGTGCACGAGTGGTGCATCATGGGAGTAGGTATACGACGGAGCGTAACGTATAGAATTGAACGTTGAAAAAGGATGCCTAGAATTTTAGTTATTACCGACCGAGATTATTATGGATTAACTAACGTACATGTATAAATAATACAAAATAATGAATATTCGTTGCAAAATTTTACCAAGCTTTCAGGAACAATTTACTAGTGAATGTTGTCGACCTTCGCGGACAGTGGGAAGAAAAAGGAACTGTGATTAGGCTAAAGCGTATCTCACCGGTTGTAGCTTTGACTATATGTATATGCACTATTATATATGTATATACTATCTCTATTAAAAATAATATTATAACGTATATCAGCTATTTAATACCCTCTCTCTCCGTGATCGCGTGTAACGTTGTTATGCTGCTCTCTATATGCCGTCCAAAGGATTTGGAGTGAGACCAGCCTAACGAACTGTAACCACCTAGACTCAAACCTCTGTTACGATTTCTACAGCTCTATACATTCCGATACGTTCCCTTACGTTTCCAGGGCCTAGCGGAGTTCTTCTGCTTGACAAATAAAAAACTCGGGAGAGAGGAGACACGACAAAAGAAGAAATCGGACAGAATTGGACCCTGAAGAGTCTGCATGGCACGCGAAAGAAGATTTTACGAAATTAAACGAAACTGCTGTAATAAGGATTGCAGACGAAAAGTACTTTGAAATCACAACGATACTTTCTGTACTACTGACACTGTTCCTTGAAGAAGGTGTTCTAGAATTTACTGGACTCTCCTTCTTTGCCTGGCGTGCTTTAACGTAACGTGCGATCTCTCTGCTTTCCTCATTTGCCAACATTCCAAGATCGATTGTACACTTGGAATTCTCTATCAGTCAATATTCTATACGAGTCATACGGCATGTGCCAAGGTTCGATTAATAAAAAGAAATTTACTTACGAATTTCAAATTTGGCGCGTTTTCTTTTTAGATTATATTTATAGCTATGGAATATTTTTTATAGTATTTGAAAAAAATGTTGTCGTGTAGATTTTTTTGGGAATAGATAAATACGTTTCGGATATTATTTATTGATGTTTTCTAATTTTCAATTCATGTCGATAGCAGGTGGCTGGACATGGACTGGTCCAGAAGCTTTCTACTCTTTTGGTTAAATATTCCTCGTTTCTGATTTGGAATCGGGTCTGTTTGATCTGTAGAAAGTTAACTGCCTGAATCTCGTTCGTAATATACATAAGCATGTAGTTCCTGGGTGGAGCTGCTTGTGTCAAAGGTGGCGCATTTTCGATGGTCTTAACTTTCTCGAGAGATACGTCAGGAGATCATCAATAGCTCTGGATCTCCCATTCTCGAGATCGACGTGCTGGATTCCATGAGTTTAATGCCGGCAATTATCGATAGCTGGTTCGGCCGGTGTGTAACGTGTTTAAAACCAGGTCGCCGGCACCTTTCTCTCTTTGCAAGAAACGAATGCTAGCTGCACAACATCTATTAGATACGGACATGGAAACGTCTATTGGAAACGAACATGGAAACATCTATTGAATGCGAACATGGAAATGCGAACATGGATACTACTTGAAGAAGGCCTGTGCATTTCTTATATCTATATATGTCAAACAAAATACTGTTCTATTGAAAAAAAAATAATTTCCAAACGAGGTAAACAATTAAAATGTTATTTAATCGAAATTATTTGCACCGACGTTGCTATATCATTGTCACAGTCGAGGTCATTTGAAGACTATTGTAATATTATATTATCCGGTTTTAAAGCTAAAATTAACTTTACGCTCGAAAAGACCAAAAAATTGTCAACGATTAACTTCCCAATTTCACGCTCCACTTGAGTAACGCTATTATGAATTTTGTGGCACAAAGTGACAGAAGATGAAAAAAAAAACTATGTGAAAAAGGACGAAAATAATAATTTACATGTTAACTGCCTACCAATTAAACGCCCTTCCTCGTTTTGGAATTCGAGCACGAAATTCTCACGAGACAAATTACGTGGTCCATATATTGCGTGTGTAATATAAGCCTTCATACATGTAATCAAGAACTTTCATTGCCTCGATCGCTTTCGTCTTTATTATTATACGGTACACCCCTTTATTTTCTTTTATTTCCTTCTCTGTGGTTCCGTTCCTCGTTTCACTTTTTTATAACCGCTCCCGCGTATCCAGTTTTGAGAAATCACGGTACAAGCTCGATTCGCAAATTCGCACGTTCGCGAAATTATACTTCATTCTATAGCTATAGATAAATTTGTAAAAGAAATTCTTGTGGTCAGCCGTCACGGTGAAAACGTTGCAGACTTCCGGTTCGAAAGAAAAAATTGGACTGGCTTACGCAAGTTTTACCAAAGTTTGATCTCTGACCTCGCAACTAGAAGCCAGTAATGCAATACTGATCGTGCGAGTAAAGAAATTAACAAAAAAAAAAAGCGAAAATTCATGAAACATAAATAATACAAAAAATTACAAGCCAACGTTGCCCCAAAAGTGCATTCGCACCATAATTCCTTGCAAATCAAACTCGAATAGACATATAATAAAAAGCAGAGTCGTTCACATACTGACCTTCATTTCCTGTGTAATCTACAAGTTACAACGACCCCACGGAAAATACCTGAGTATTAAATTTCCATATGACGAGTATCATTCTTCACCTTATAGTACAATAATTTGAACTTACCATATCGTTGCGTTCTCCTATCCTCAGGAAACCACTAAAATTATTCCTTCGAGATATTCTGAGGCACAAAGGGTCTTCACAGCTTCCAATAACAGTAGTTCTTTTTTAAATCTCTCCAAGTGGCGTCTTCCTCGATAACACTGCACCCCGAGCCATTACCAAACTGAATTGAGTAAATATTTTCATATACTACATACAAGCGATTTAACAAAGGAGAATGTAGTTAACGCGCACGGAAATCGTTATACCGATTAAGGATCATGAAAGTCCACCGTTCGAGTTCGACACAGTTTGAAGCTACTCCCAGGAACTGGACAGACTATATAGGCACCCCACCAATGGCAATGCTGCGTGCTCCTTCCTCTGATGCAGTTGCTACCAGCATCTAAGAGAAAGACTTTCTTACGTTATTCGAATACAGGAACATCCAGATATACAGGCATATCCCAAGTACACTGTAATCATAAAATGCAATTAGTAGAAAATTAAGAGAAAAATTTGAAAACGTATAAAATATATACAGTAATTTGTAAAAATTTTTTCCATTTTTAATGTATTTTTTTCAACAATAATTACAGATATACATTTTTCACAGATGATGTTTCTACAGTCATCGTTATGGAATGTGATAAGGACCTGATGCACTGATATGGAGGGAAGGAAGTGACATTAAGAAGCTGGAGTGTATCTGCAATCTAGGCCTCTATAGGATTGCCTGTAAATATCCTTCCCTTTCACTGGAGCAAAATGAGAAAAATTGGCACACTGTGTGTGCGTGTACCTGAGCGAATGTCCGTCCATTAGGTTGGAACGGGCAAACGAGTACTCACCACTTCCACAACTTCCACTTCATTATATATATTGAAATATGGGTGTATATATATTATAACTTATAAGAACCACCTCGACTTGCTATGCCACCTCCATAGAGCATCCTGCATATGCCAGATAACTATGTATGGTTAACTGGATCACTGGCAGACACCAGAAGCCACATATATAGAAATGGTTTGAGCTAGTCTTTGGAAAATATGATAAAACACTTAGGATGCTATTTAATATCCTATTATGAAGATGAGATTAAAATCTTTCAGTTTTGCGCTTCGCCATGCCAGACTGCCTTTACACTTTTACAAGGATACCGTTGTATCCGCTCATTCATACTTCATATTTCGCGATTCTTCCTATTATGAGATTGTTGTTCGTAATATCTGGCTTGCAATTCGTATAGATACGTTAATAGATACCTTGGATACGTATAACGCAATATCCTGAACGAACACCTCGATCCTATTATCCTATCGATACTCGTTAAGAGATCAAGAAACTGGTAACAGGTGAAAATAGACACGCAAAATTGATACATAGATAAATATAAGTAAATGCAATTAGACAGAGATCATTAAGCGTAATTAAACTACATTTTTGTCAATATAATTTTCATTGTCAATTAAATACTGAGTACTCGTAAAATGGATTTTGTACGATAAACGGATGTTTATTTGATAATAAAATATGAGAAGATTTTTATTAAAAATTCTCTATTGCCTTGTACCGAATAATAAGAAGAGATCGGAAAGTTCGGATTTTCTTGTTCTTGCGAATTATTTCCTCCTATAATTTAAATCTAATAAATTAATCCCAAAAGGTGGTGATGGCGATCATGACGATGGTGCCGATGGTAGCGAAGCCACGAGAGAAAGCGGGAAACGCAGTAGACCGCCCAGTTCGGCAAGATATCCAAGTAAAATGCATTCCAGAAAGAAAGGATCGTTTCCTCTCTATAATCAGTGTAATAGTCTCTCTTGGTCCATAGCATAATAGTCACCAGGTAGCCGACTGTAGCTCCACCTATAAAGAGAATTTTTGTCATCTTTAATCTCTCTAAAGTTTTTGCCTTCCATTGTTTGAAAACTATCGTTAACGAATCATCCGGTAATCCGAGAAACTTGTCGAAGCCTTATCGCTCTGGTTAAACTTGTATAATTTATAAACTTTCGATACTCTAAAAAGTCTCTGGGCGTCAACAATTTCGTTCGGGTTACGAAATCACTTTCAGGCACGCTTACATTTAACAGACTGACCTGTCGTTTCTTAGGAATCGTGCTTGGCATTCTATAGTTAAAACTTATACACGTACTTAACATGCTTTACGCATCTATTTCACGTAATGCTACTAACAGTGAATAAATTCTAAAGAAATTGCATAAAATCCCGTGAAAATATTTTTACTAATATTACCTCTGTCTATTAACTGACCAAGAAAAGAAAAAATTTTTTCTTCATTGTTCCAGTAATATTTCTTATTTTTATTGGCAAAAATTCTTGGCTCCTCTTACACGTATGAATGAACGTCGCAGGTAGAGCAGACATGACGAAGTTGAGAGACTCTCTTCTTACTTTCACATGAACGAGCTTGACCGCAAGTCTTGAAGAGTTCAATGCCAGGAAGAAATATCTTCTTTCAAGATATGAATTTCGAAAGAAAACATATATATATATACATATGCATACATACCTACAAGTATTTCGACATTAACACGCACGAGTCGCGTAGGATGTCGTTGGTCATCGACAGACCTGTTTCTCTTTGGCGTACTCATCTTCCTTGTGTACATAACTTAGACCAAGTTAAACTTGACCCGGATATCTTGTCCAGCATTGGATTCACCAGCGGAAAGAATGAAAAAGTGTCCAGGACAGAAAAGAAATGGTCGAATGCAATGAGAGTAGTGACAGAAGAAGATGTAGAAGAAGAAGTCAGATGGTGTCCAGTTTCGAGACATTCTAAAGTCGTGAAGAGAATCGTGAAATCTTGATCGAGTTGAATTAAGTGGATCAACTGGATGAACCGGATCGGTTGGTCTTGGTCTGGGCCTTACGTGTTTCAATGTTTAGGGTATTTGAAACTTTTTATCTGCTGCTTATAACTTTTTCTAATGCTTCTTACAGCGTGCGTTACTCCCACATGAACGTATTTAGTGATTCATCCTTGGAATTACCTGAGAAAATATTGTGCTTTAATAAATGGTTACACTTTCACCGTCGCCGGACAAGGTCTAGGACGGGCCGAGGATAGAAGATGTGGATTTACTGACTTTCACGTGAGTTCACGTCGACTTACGCATCCTTACGTGCAGCATCCTTGTGGCTTCCGATATTGTCATTACTTTCCTTTGATGATAGATTCTTTGGATTACTTTACTCGTAATTGGGGTTTTTATCTTTTTGGGTATTATGCGTATGATCTTGCGTTACGCGGTATTGCTATTTGAATTACCTAATATAATAGTGTTGTCGGCGGTTTTAGGTCACTGTAGTACTTTACATTCCTGGATGAGCCATTAGCGAAGTAATTTTCTTTGAATAAATTTGAATATTTCAGGTGTACGTATATTATTTAAAATTTGATTTACATGCATTTTTGAACTGGTGAGCGTTATTATTTAGGAAGTTATTATTTAAATAAGGAAGAATGTGTCTGATTTACGTAGCTATCGACTTGCATATGTAATCTTTTTTTTTTCAAAAAAATACCGATGTTTGGAGGATTGACGGAGAAATAATGAAATATGTCGAGATTTGTGATAATAAATTTTTGCGAGTGAAATATTAACCTCAAAGTATGTCACGTCGGTCGCATTAAAGCAAAGTTGATTTCTTATAACTCAATTTCCTTTTTAATAGTGACAAAATATTTTTAGAAAGCTGCTTATATATGTCAAATGAATAAAAAATCTTGAATGAATATATAGTGCAGGCGAATAAAATGATATATATTAAAGCATTGATGTAAGTACTCACAATAACAAAAAAAAAGTCATGTTAATAAGGGAACCTAAACAAAAATGATTATTTGCATTGTTAAAATCATAGTCGTATGAATTTGTACTGCTTTGTAAGATACACGATAAGTGATAATTAAAAGTTTACTTGTCATCCTATTTTATGCCGTTTATCGAAGATAAATAGATCAGGCCTGAGCGTGTGTTTCATACAGTCAACGTCCGTACCACGTGAATTTGACATACTCACGCATCCATGCATCATTGAAGATACTGCCACCTGTGAGTTGAAGCAGCTATTACTTCGTTAACCCGATTAAACTGTGCTTTTAGGAATAATTAGAGCGAGAGTCAATGCTCTGGAGTGGGAACCATTGCCAAGCACTGATCGACATTCATCCCAACTGCAGGGCATTGTTGAGGATCACTGTAAAAGTTGTGATTAAAAAATTTGTTGATCAAAACTTTCACCTTTGTTTTTTGTTAATTATAATGTTTCTGACAATTGTAAATTGTCATCATTATCTTTTTGTTGAGGATTTTTGCCTCGGGTCCTCAGCCCAGTTCACAGCATCTCTTTCTTAATCTTTTTACCCTATACTACCACTTCTAAAAAGATTTAACACAATAAATCAGTATTTAGATAACTGGCTCACAATCATGCTTTGCCGTGCGCGAAAATCCGTCGTTTATCTAATCATAACAAGTGAATAATTAGTCCATGTCTGAAAATACGTGTAGTTAAAAATAATCAAGTTATCACGCGAATCGATCGCGAGTGTCGAAAGACCAGCGACTCGACACGGCGCATGGAGGGCGAGAATTCTTTGATGAGTTACTATTTTTATCTCTTTCTATTGCAGCCAAAACGTCTGTGCAATCAACAATCCTAAAGCTCTCACGAAGAGTTGAATGGGGTAGGATGAAGGAAGGTAGAACGGGAAGAGTTATGACGCATAATCCAAATTTCAAAGTTTCCCAGTGTGATAAATAAGAACTTACGTTTTGCATTCTTCATTTATTGTTATTTTGTTTAGTTATTAATATTCCTAGTACTGACATTTCACATTATAGATCTGAAGGTAAAATTTTATTTCATGATAGTGCATGTGCTGCCATCTCTGAAATATTTTGAGAAGCCTCTCATTGTTATTACAGCATTGATAAATTAAAGTTGATTAAAGATTTCTAATCACAATCTTGAGCTTCCAATTGTGAAAATTTAGGTGTTAGGCAATTTTTTCCTTTTATGACACAAATCGACACTTCAATATAGATTCTCATCGATTCAATTTCAAATACATACTAACGCTAAATCAATATGTTCTATTAGAGCTTACCAACAGCCATGATGCCGTCGTGTAAATAAAACATATGTGCCGGCAATACATTGATTTGTACTATACGAGAAAAAAACCCTGAGTCGCTAACTGCGCTTTAGGGGGAAAAAAAACTTTGTAAAAATCTCCTATTTACGATTTTCGTGATTGAAATTGAAAAGTTATCATCCAAGCTCCTCACTTTACAATAGAAATATGAAAAAAATATCATTTATTCATAATAACGTTTCTCAGACAAATTCATATATCCTCCGGAAATTTGGCAGATTTTGGTTCAGAATTGACAATTGAGAGAGTGCGTTGCATGTGCAGATATGTTGGAATGCTTCTATTTCTTCTTCCTTCGTTTTCCTTTAAATTACACAACCAGTTTCCGTCGTTTGCCCAATCATTAGATGTCAATGCGTAAATAGGAGGCGACAAACACTCTGATGATCCTATTGATGTTCTCCGTGGTAACCAAATCTATATTACTTCTATTATCACCCGATTCGTGCCAGAACGGTGGAAACGGGTATGGTATAAGATGTAAGATCGGTACGTCTGCAAAGGAAAAATGCAACATGAAAATGAGATAATAGTACTTTGCGATACGAGTGCGAGAAAACGAACTTGATAGGCAGGCGGTGAAGTTGATCGCACGAGCGGCACAAGCCGAAGGCGAGTGCTGCTTGTTTTACGAGTGCGGCGAGTGTGACAAACTTCCCGACCTGCGTATAATGTTCGCTTTATTGCACCAGTATCGCATTAGTACTTTGCGATACGAGTGCGAGAAAACGAACTTGATAGGCAGGCGGTGAAGTTGATCGCACGAGCGGCACAAGCCGAAGGCGAGTGCTGCTTGTTTTACGAGTGCGGCGAGTGTGACAAACTTCCCGACCTGCGTATAATGTTCGCTTTATTGCACCAGTATCGCATTAGTACTTTGCGATACAAGTGCGAGAAAGCAAACTTTGTAGGCAGGCGGTATAGTTGGTCGCATAGCCGCACACGAGTAACACAACGGCACCAGCCGAAGGCGAGTGTTGCTTTTTTTACGAGCACGGCGAGTGTGACAAACTTCACGAACTGCGTATAATGTTCGCTTTATTGTACCAGTATCGGATAATATTTTCTGTAACGGATGCATGAAAAACGCTAATTTTTGTGCCTCCATAGTGACTGACACATCTCTTCATTGGAGGAGGCAGCCATAAGAAGAGCAAAGAAGGCTTCCAAAGTGAATGCATTTCATGACAGCGCGCGAGAACAAAGTTTACTTTATCGCACTAGTGCGATAATGTAAAATTCGGCCGATTTGCGCATGCGCAGCATTTTTATCTTATCCTTAGTTATAAAGCGCAACTTATGCCACACTTTGGAGGCACGAAATGTAGCGTTTTTCATGCATGAGTTACATAAAGACTTCTACGTCACTAAAAAAATAACTGTTTATGAGAAAAGAGCGTGGACTTTATAAATAAAATCGTACTTCTTCTCATAAATGGAATATGATCGTCTTCTATATGTGCCTGGATGGAATAAGGCTGGAAGTATCTCTGCTGAGGTTTTCCGTAAGAGTAGTCTTCTAATTTTCTCAAACGCGCTAGAGTGTTCTCAGCATCTACCAAGACGTTATACCACCTCTGAGTGTTCTCAAAATAATTGTAGAACGTGGGATCAGGTGCTCCAATTAGATCCAAAAGTAAGAGCATGTCCTGAGGGAAAAGATACAAATTTGAATTAATTCCTAATGGGTCGCCATCTATGGGATATAGAGCGAACTACAATCTCCGTAGAATAATCTTTTTATCTCATGAACTGATTATGAGATTTAATCTTTAACCTTGATCGCTACTATTTATTTCATCTATTTTTTTATTTCCAGTATGTACTTATTTACCATTTTATCCAGTTCCCTGACGTCATTTTCTCGACTATGTTTCGATCGTGTCATATACCATTTTTTGGCAAGATGTCGGGCACCGTAAATTGAGTCCTTTGGGCCCCACGACTGGAAAGCTTCTTCCCCGTCAAAGAATATAAACATGAGGCTTACGTCTTGCTAAAGAAAGAAATAAATAGTAGTACCGTTATAAAAATCTTTCGTTGCCGACGTCACATTATACGGTCAAAACCTTTTTTATTTTGTCTAGTTGCTGCTTCATGACTTTCGCAAGGTTAATGAGCTGTGCACAGGGAACAGCGCTGTCCGTGGCCCCGATGAAGCTCCCTTCTCTGGTATATTTCGAGTCATAATGACAAGCCAATGCCAAATATCGTCTAGCATTTGGATTGTGTGTGGCTACAATATTTTCAAAATGTAGTATACCAAAATTCGGTGTTTTTTCGTCGAACGGATCAGATTCCACTTCCCATCCCAGATCCTTCATTGATTTTTTGATGTACTGTCGTAAGAAAACGATACGGTACAGTCACGACAAAGAAATATAATATTAATAGAACATTTGCAATAACACGCATTACTCATTCCCTGCTGGGCTCAGGGAAATACTAGTAATGAGGACCAGCCTTATGGAACTTTGTATCTTACCTCTAGAGCGTACAGTGCACAGATACAAAATAAAGATATGCTACATTTAGCATACAAGTTCTGCTGGCAGTTGAAAAGCCGTATAGTTTGTTCCAGACACAAGTATACGGGGACTGGCCCTCTTTACTAAAACTCCTCACTGCCGTCGAAGACATTTGCGAAAATATTGCACAATAAAGCACAAGCAGGGAATTCCCAGTAATACGACGTACATTACAGTAAATAATTTTACATACATTCTTTACATCAGTATGGCCTGGTGTACCCACTACTCTTGGTATGCAAATGTTATCAAGAATTTCGTTCATATGAGCCATGTCCGTCATTTCCGAGAGCACCAGGACTTGTCGATCCGTCAGTTCGTTTGAAGTATGAAAATGCTACAAGAGCAATTTGATAATTAATCAATAAATAAAAATGAGACACAATGTTACATGCAAAATACATGTCATAGTTGCCTTTCCCACTCATTCACATAACTTAAACACAACAGCACAACAGCATTTACATTAATGTCAATAAGTGGGAAATGGAAATTAATATATGAGGATTATATGCATATGTCAATACTATTGCCGCCGGGTATAATTGTCCAACAATTTTTTTCAGACGATAAATAAAAACCTTTCCCGCTCGAGGTACAAAAAAGACAAATAAATTTCCCACCGGATAATGCAGACGCCGAAGAATATGCTGACTGAATGTGTCATAGACGAATGTCAATAATCAAATTGAACAACAATGGGTGACAACTATTACCGATTAGTCCCTCACGTACTTTCTCGCTACGAAATGGCACATCCCGGATGACATTTTCAAGCGCTTCAGATCCAGTAAAATATGTCAAGAGACATGTAAGAATTAGCGTAAGTCCTCGCATGATCCTACTCTCAGGGACGTCACTTCAACACTGAGCATTGTGAAAGTATCACATTGCAGTAGGTATGCTTGATACGCTCCGAACGTAATACAGCCATTTTTCTCTCGTTAGTTCACAGATTGTACCGCTAGATGGCGGCACCGTACACATGCGCATGCGGAACCTACCATTAATTATTCTTACATTTAACGGAGATAAGGTATGTACAGAGAAAATAAGAGAGACGACAAAATCTTCAGGGTCTTTTAATATATACGTAAGAAAATTTATACATTTTCTTCTCGTCGCTTTCGCTTATTGTTAGAGCCTGACAGTCATATTGCGACAGGGACGTATTGTCGTTGTTGTAGCTGTTGCCGCCTGTTGATTGCTTCGCATAGAAAACATATATCCACGTATCAAAAATACCGGATAAGGTTATTAATGAGATGATAAGAGTAGATGAATGTTTAGAACGAAATTCTTCATGACGGATGACTGGAAGGTAGCCCAGCAAACACAATATTATACGTACGTACACGTTAATTACATGTGCCAGTTATATAAATGGAGGACACGTTCGAATGAATGTGTGCGTCACACGTAACATTACATTTTCTTGGGAGTAACTGACGACAAAATTATTAATTGTATAATAGATGATCGATGATAACATGGGATTTTTCTACCAACGCATCCCACTTTCGAGGTACAATCCGTCTGATATGCTACACACAAAAGTTACACTGTCCCTTGTACGATAATTATTAGCACGATACAAAAAAAAAAGTAAGATAGAAGAGATGAAATATTAGATTATACGTTAAAAAAATATGTATAAAATTAAATCTCGTCGCAATACCGAACGAGTATATAAATATTGCATTTTAATAAAAAAAATTTTCTCGCCACCTCCTTTTCATTCTACTGTCTTTTTTTTTTTGAGCAGCCGCCTCCGCGCGGACAATATTTATATATAAAATAATTCGATGTACGCTTTTTCGTTCCAATCTCACGTTGTTTTCCAAAACAAAAAGAAAATACACACGCACACAATTATTAACAAGACCCAAACTAGGCCACACTCTACGGTGGCGACACCATGCACAAGAGGTCGCCACGATTACATCACTGTCCGGAAGTCCTCCAGGTTTCCCGTATCGCGCAAAGTTTCAGTCACAACATTCAAGGAGACACAGAAGTGTAATAAGAATAACAACAACAATAATAATAAAAGTACAACAACGATAAATAACATTAGAGCCAATTGTTTAATATTTTTTGATAATTCCGCTGACGAGATTTTTACGAATCCGTAAGAAACTGTGTATTACTGCACAGGGCCTGGCGTCGAGTGGGCATGATTTGGGCCTTGATATTCTAGTAACCGGGATAACTCGAACCCGTCAGCCATCCTGCATCTGTCCTTCATCTATCAGTACAAGTATTCGTTGTGTCATAAGTGAATAAACACGGTTAGCATTTATTCCCTTGTTTCATAATATACTCATATATTTCCAAGAACGATTTTGCTTCCTTGGCGCAACGCGCTTCTCTTCTTTATTCTTTTACTCCTGGGACGACTTCCTGGTCTGATTTCTGATTCTCGTTGACTACCGGTCTCGCTCGCACTTCCTCGATTACTTCCTCTGTTCCTTCTCACGCGCGTTATAAGCGCACAATCAGTAATTGTATGGCCCGTATTGAGAACCGTGATAATACGGTCCCGGATAAGCTGCAGGTGCTGGATAACTGGCATACGCGTACTGCTGTTTCTGCGGGTACACTGTAATGCAGAAAAGAAAAAAAAAACATGCAAGTAACCATATTTACAGGACTCGTTGTTACTGTAAGAAATAATTCCTTTGCTTAAAGGCTAAATTATATTTAGAAGAATTCTTTACCCGATTGTTTTCAGATAGGTAAGCACGACGATAATGTCATTTATTCCCTTCCGAGTGAATGGGTCTTCGAGAAAAATGGCGGCGTGTAATTGAATTGAGTATGCCGTCGACGTAGGCAGAGTAATAATTTGCTATTCACGGGCAAATTGTTTTTTCAACGAAGATCACGTGCCACCTGTCATTTAGCATTAGTTTTAACGACACTTGATTGGGATATATTTTCTCTACGAATATACAGATAATACGTACTTTCGTACATACATATGATATAGCGCGTGTTTACATATTGTCATTATGAATTATGATAATAATAAAGCGAAGTGGAATCGATCGGTACCAGCTAAAGACGATCTAGAAAGTTCAACTGTTGAGTTAGAGCATGACAAAATGACTTCAATTCGCGGAATAAACAGAGCGTGCTGTAAAAAAAAGTAAAAGCTAGGCGCATACAGTCGCGGTCGCCATATTTCAATTATCCATTTCTAGTATTTATCTGCGCTCTACCTTTTGGTCCATCGTGAGAAACGATTAGCAACTGTAATATAACACACGCGGAGCCTCGATATTCTATTATGTACATGGATCGATATTCTGGTAAAGGGCGAATAATGTGAGACTGAGTTCTAATAATTTAAATGACGTAGTAGTATAGCCTTGACGGTTAAGTGTTGCTGTTAAGTAAGCTGTATTATTTAAATTTTGTCCCTGAATCCATTTCTCTTAATATTCTACAAATTTCTCTTTCTCTCAATTATACGTTCATTCGTGCACTCTTTCTCTCTCTGTGTGTGTATTATTGCTCTGATAACCTTTGAAAATCCCTATACGTTTACAAACCGACCCTATTAACTTTATCGTATGAAACGGTACCGACTGCGGACTGTTACCCTATGGGTATACTCATCATACAATTTCGCTTAACGGTACGAAATTCCAAAATACATTTTCACGCACGAAAAATGACGTCTTGTCGAACATGTACGATTTCATACGATAGCCATCAACCCATTCGACTGAACGCGCTGGCGAAACAGTACGGTCCACTAAAAAAACATAGTTAGTAAAAGCCCCCAAGTAAAAAAGTGAAAAAAAGGAAGTAACGACGATACAAGGAGAAACTCAAAAAAAGAATGTGTTAAATATTAAATAAAATACCAGGCATGAGGTACTGCATGTTCATAGCCTCCTCGCGCATTCTTTCGCCCCTCAAGCAAATGGCCGCGGCGCTAAACAATATAGCGCTGACGAGTGACCAACCGACGCCGACCCAAGCCACCACGTACGACCAGTCGTACGAGATTAGCGAGTTGTCCTTCAGGACCTAGATAACGGTTGGTTAAGGATCCGTGGGAAGCAGTCGTAGTGTGGCAGAGGGATGAACGCCAGGAAGAGGAAGCACCAGGATTCCGTTGAGGAAGATTTGTGTGAGAGTGGGGAAAAAAAAAACGGAGCACGTATTAGTCGTGGCGTGTTCGATTCATATGATCACCTGGCATGATGTATTGCACGTTTTGAGCTTGCTCTCGTGCCCGCTCCTTCCTTAGGCAGGACGCTGCGATGAGAAATAGCGTCATGGTGCCCAGGCACGTGGCAACGCCGAGCCAGGCCAAATAAAACGACCAGTCGTACCACTGAGCTGCATTGTCCTTAAGTACCTGTGGGCATTTTATTCGCGTTTTTGCTTACAAAATATATTCGACAGAGACTCCCAGGTACTTTCCAGATTGTTGATACTCCGGTATCGGACGGTGATGCTAAATTGTATTCAATGACTGTTACAAATACATTCAACCGTTAAAGTGCGTCAAGCTTCCGAACGCCGCCGTCACGCGGCGCTGCTGTCAACTTTTTCTTTTCTTTTCCCATATCAATAATGCTTAAGTATTATGAGTTTGTATATTTGATAAATAATATATACGCTTATCAGATAGTATTTTACTCACGTTGCTCCATTGTTGATAATATTCTTCGCCCACGATCTTCTCCTTCTCGTAATACTCGACGCCGTGCCACAGTCCCATGCCACCGGCACTAAGTAGACCTAACGAACGAGTGGGAAGATTATTACTATGATCATGTCTTTGGCTAATGATAATTACATTGTGAACTGTAAATAGACAAACTAATGTGTTTATGGTATATATGATAGAAGTCTATATGTACAGGCTAAGAGCATCAGAATTGCCGTGGCAGTGATGTTTCCAGGTGAACGTCGCCAGCAGCCGACAACACCGGTCCAGAAGGCAGAGAATATCGCCAGGAAACCAACCATGAAGAGAGCGATGACGGAACGTCCCATATCTGTAAGAAACAATTATTTAATCAATTACCAATCATTACTTGTTCGGAATGTCGTAAAAATAAAATAAATACGACTTTGTATACGTACGTAATCGCGCCATTGCGTCATCGGAGAAGCCTCTCGTTTGATTTTCCTCATCGGGAATGAAATAATCGATGTTCATGCAATGAGTTTCCACGGGGCTGAGGTAAGTTTCCACTATAAAGAATTTTTAAAATAATCAATCACAGAGTCCTCGATTGACAATCCCGCTATTATACAAGTGACCATACGTAAAAGGCCATAGGTGAGAAGAAAAATTAAAAACGAAAAGTTTAATTGTTCGAACCAAGCAATTGGTGAGCTGTGACCTTAATGTCCAATTAATTTTCAAGTAAATCATGTTCTTTTCAGATTTATGTCTCGACATTTTTCATTCAGTTTCTCGTCAGGAATTTACCCTTTTCAGCATATCCGGATAGTATAATACACCACATATATATATATACACTCTTTGAATATATATGTATATACGTCGAAATGCACCTGACCTAGAATGCAATATACGCTATCACTGAGCGCAGAAACACATAGAGCCTCGCATGTGTTCAGGTGCATAAATACATGAAGACTGTATGTATTTGTATGTAGCGACCCGGTCCAACGGTACTTTTTTCAATCCTAACCAGCGACAAAAATTCTTGCACGTTTCCACGAAACTTCATGATGGTATCCATCACTAAACCACATATGATTTACTGCCGTATGAATAATCATCATTAGTCATAAGTTAAATTTCCAGAGGCCACCGTCTAATGGTTTAAAATGTACAAGAGTCACTTAGATTGGAAACTGATATCCAACGACAATTGTGTCCACGTGCGCACCGGACAGGTGAAAAAATGAAAATGTCATAAATAACTTGATATGCAAATATATTAAGATATTTTTAATTGTAAAAGCACTTCAGACTAATCGTACCTAGGGGATATAATGATAAAGTGGAAAAAAATGGATAAAAATAAATATTTTCCAAGAAAGGAAAGAGACACAACAGATATACCGGGTGGTACCGTTGCTTTAAAAATGTCCAAGATACCAAGGTGGCTTCCTTCTCTCACCACTTTTAGCGAGTACAGTTACACGCGAGTCAACGATCTTATATACCGAGCTATCATCCTGTCCACCTTGTACTTCACTATAGTCCTATAACATATCCTCTAGGATATGAAGTCGCGAGATATAAATTAACGGAACACCATACACTGATAAAGCAGCAATCGTACAACAGGATTATCCGATATCCTTTGACGTTCTCGAAGAATTTTCATTTTAATTATTACGACCGCGCCAGACTTGCGAAAGACTTTCTTTCTGCGAATGGGGGTCAGTCCGATCACGTTCCGTAGGGACGAATCGAAATGATTGCTCGACCGGAAACTACGTGCTCCGGAAGCTCACAGTCGATTCTTTAAACGGATATGGCGCTTCTCGGTCAGACAACGGTAAATATACAGGCTCTGATTTTTCGTTATGAATAATAACATCGTTAAGGTAACCACTGAGTTAGTTCGAATTAAAGATTATTATTTGCTATGAAAATATGCCGTTCAGTATGATGTAGCCAAATTCTTCAGCGAAATTTCAGTATTGCTGAGCGTCGACTTACAGAGATATACGAATTTGAAGTAGTCAAAATTGCACTATACATATACTTCATATGTTAAAACAGCTGTATTCCTTTTTGACATATCTCAACTTCTAGATGGTAAAAGTGGACGAAAGTTATTTAAACAACGTGTCATGTGAAAATGAAAAATTCACGAATCTCTGTCCTTCCATTTCCGTCAAATAAATGATCTTGCACAGGAAATATGTTTGTTAACGAACGATATACAAGGTATTGATCAAAATAGAAATACTATTATTTTGATGGCGCTGATGCCTCCTTAAATACGAAGAAGAGAAAACATCGTCTGTATCTTGGATCGCAGGGAAAATAATGTTGAAAAGTATAAAGCGTCGATCCAACGATAGAATCGATCGAGGCAATTATCACTGGCACCGGAAATGCATTTTCCGATGTGTCATGGCGTCGAGAAACAATGCCACATGATATCGTTGGAATTTAAGTCGTGTCGTATATCGTTTAGCAGTCCCGTTTTGTGGCTCTAGTGGTCAACGCCAGTGTACAGCTTTACGTGCATATTGAAAGAGAACTCCAATGAAGTTTCTAGTACCTACGATTCAGGTTAAACTTCTAACCTATTACGTGAATGAGAAGCGATGGAATCGCAAGGATAATTCCGCATAGAAAGTAGCCAAAGGTGTCCGGGTTCAGAAGCCGTGTCTTCGCAGCGATGTAAACACGCGAGAAGTAGTCGCCAGCCATTAGAGATATATTAAAGGAAGAAAAGAAAAAATGTTAATAATCAAAAGATCGTTGGACCGTTAAGAAATGGCGGGAATTTCCAAAGAGGAAGAGAATCTAATCTACCGACGTAAATAAAAGTAATTTAATCTTACCGGCAGGTGGTCGTTCTTTCGGGTAACATATCCTGAAGAGTCCCTGAGTTCTCGTATAATAATAATATTTAGTGTTCATCTGCTCGACGAGATGGCTCTGCTCGGCATGCTTAGCGGCGTATTGCTAAAGACAGATAAAAATGAAGTGGCATTACTAGAGAAATTCGTCGAGTCGCATTGACGTTACAGTCACGGAGAAAAAATAATCGTTAAACACCCAAGTACAGTCATTTCGTAGATTTAATATAACAATTGTAGAAAGTATCGATTCGCAAGATCGACGCCATTCGCTATCTCGTCCCGGCAGTCTCTTTATTTATCTCAGATTCTTTTGTCTCGTTCTACCTGCCAGCTCTCTGCTGCTATTTCATCTCCCATAGCAAGTAATAAGGTACGCATATATAGGGTACCCGTTAAAACCTCCTAGAGAGCGTTTACTCGAGCGTGTCAGGATAGTTCCGCTCACGGAGCTCCGGACGTCGTTAAGCATGGACGTGAAATTAGATATAATTACACCATTCGAACGATACTATCTAGTTTCTATCTGAATTCAACCTGCGAATTATACCGGTACGTACATAATACTCGTATACAAAGTGCATATTCGTGTAAATGTATATGTATATATATATATATATTTATCGTGCACGATAAATGGCAAAAGTCGAACGAGATAATATACAATTATTTGTCATAACAACTTAGCGATATTCAATTGTCATTTCTATTATAAGAAAGTACGCGGACGACTGAGTCCTTCGTAACGCGATTCTCCTTGGTGGAAATTGCGAAACGTTGCAAGTAGTTAAACGTAGATACAGCAATTGCGTAGGTGGTGTGGAAAGACCTATGAAAAGAAAGGGGGAAAGAAAAAGTAGGAAGAATAAAAAAAATGTGAAACAAAAGAAAAAGTACGACAAGGTATACAATATACAAAGAGAAACGAATACGCGTTACTTGAATCAGTGGGCCGTGGAATGTTATTCATTCTCATATTCCGATATTCTCATAGTCCAGTGGGCAGAATGGAATTCATCGCGTTTACTTAACGACTGGAGACTATTTTTATTTACGTTTTGTTTCGCATTTTCCCACTACTCGTGCAGAACTCTCTTAGGAAATACATCTGCCAAGAGATACACGGCCGACGACATTGCACTCATGGGACTTTTCTTTTATTCATTTAGTTTTCATTTTTCCAACATTTTCTTTTCTCCCTTCTTAATTACAAGTAAACACAGTTTCTCGTTCGGCGCTGCTTTCACATTGAGTTTCGCCATTGCTGAGAATCGCAGTTGATACCCTGACGCAGTCACATTTTTTTTCTAATAATAAATGTGAACGGTAAGAAAATATTTTTTTGGAAAATTTCATAATATACATAGCCAACCCACGAAATTTCTCATTGCTACCCCTTTGCTGCATATGGTTGTGTTTCTCTACGTACACATTACTCTCATACTAGGATCCTGTATGATACACTGAATCAACTACAAAAATGTTCGTCTACACACCAAACTCTGCCGTGAATACAAATAAGCTTTTAATATCACAGGTTAAGCTGTAATATTCTCACACGTTCACACATACCTGCATCATGGAGCTACTGGGTATGTGTTACGTACACAAACTGGTCGCATATGGTAGTTTGATACCACAAGTATGTGCGAGCTGCTTCTAATCGCATACGTATATCCTAAGTGTTAATGTGTATGCCTATACCTGCCTAGGTAGGAAAGATAACTGTATATAGGATTTCTTGCAGCGGCACGAAGAACAAACTCTGTGCACAGCATGGGAAAAATGATTATGGTAGCGTTGATTGGCGCGTTGATGGCTGCGGTCGCAATGAGAGATCAAGGGAAAGGAGGATTCTTCTCGTTTCTATGCTTGAATGCTTGGGCGCTCTTCGCTTCTGGGCAACCATGATGGAACGAAAGGATAGGGCTTATGCCTGTAGAACGTCATTACGAGGAATGTATTTTATATGTTAAATAGATAATTGCTATATGAACGGGTATCTGTAGTTTTTGAAGTCACCTTATTACATTCGTTGTAGAATTTGGATGACGAATTTATGCAATCTTTTTATTTTTCAAAATTTTAATGTACGTGCTTGAAACATTAGCCTGCGAAATTATTGACTGTCGAGTACTGGCGCACGTGTCGTCTTGTACTTTGAATAATATTACATATAAATAAAGGGTATTTCGAGGTGAGAACAAAATCGAATGAACGTCTGAGTCAATGTGCGCGAAATGGGTGCGGCTTGGAATGTCGATCTCATCGACCGAGTGAGCGAGCAAATCAACGAGCGAGTGGTCGTGCTAAAAGGTGTTTGCAGAGTTTTAGGAACGTGCTTATCCTTATGGGACGTTGAAAAAATTGTTAGAAAATGTGTACAGGTAGTTTGTCCTTGTTTGACGAAGGTTTGTTTGAACCGCGGACGAATACGTAGCGATTAAGACAAGGAGGGAAAGAAAGAAACATGGCCGCCGTAAGCAGGATGTAACAAGTCGCTACTACAAGGAGCACACTGTCTGAGAATTTTTGGAAATACTCAAGGCTGACGAATGTGAAATTTACTGTGCTATGTGTATCTGTTTGTAGGTCTATATATGCTAATGTATACTAACTTGTATTTGAGCACGCTTGACCTCCGTGTAGAGCCAATTGTCCGTGGAGAAGGCTATAGCCAGGAGAGCCGTAGCGATTATCCCGGTTATCGTGGCGAGCGAGAGAGTTACCGCTGAGCAAGGCATCTTGGATGTTTTATCACCGTTTGATACTTCTTGTTTAATTGGAATTACTAACGGGCACTAGATACGGCACTGGCACTCAACGCGAACGACGATGAACAACGACAAAGGACGTTAGCACTATAAGGACTATAGGCACAAGGGGGTTATACTTCACGAGTAAATTTACAATGCACTCTGATATGGGTGTTTGAAAATATAAATATATTCGTATAAATTGACTTCTAGCAATAAGGACCAATCACCTTTTACGTTGAATCGACGAGGGTCTAATTAACACTAGTCAGTCTTAATGAATGCGCGCACGCTTCTGGCAACACACAAAATCATCTCTCTCATATATTACACAGCATTATTGGCCAAGGGAGAACAGTAAGATGGCTATAAGGGCAATAACAAGAACGAGTAACACAGTGAGATTCGATAGATACTCGTAGTCTTTTATTTGAGTAGTTTGTACGTTAGTTAATCTTTCAGTGTAATTCGTACACGGGTACGCAGGTACGCAGGCCACGGAGTAAAAGCCAGAACTCGACTTCGCGTAGAATGGAACGCAAGCCGTAAGAAAACCTGAAGGGAACAGGAGGAGGTAATACAACACAGGTGGGGATGGATAGCCCCAAGACAGGTATATTACCTATGTTTTACCTGGAAGGGTTCTCAACGCGATGGCTAGGAGTTTCTCCGATGTTTATAAAGAGAGATGTGCAAGTACGTGGAAGAATATTAAATATTTTAAAACATTTTTTCCTTTGTTTTAAAATATTCAATGCAGTTATGAATTACGGAATTTATAAATACACAGATGATCTATTGGACATTTCGTTGAAGCAAAGGAGGTTGAAAATTTATGAAATTCATATGTCGTCTTCCGGTTGGATAGGATGAGAACATTCTTTTACAGGTCTCTCGAGGTACCTGCTGGCCGTATTATTCTTTGTCTTTTTGGTATCGTCTCGTCCTTGTCAAAGTTAGTCTTTCACTACCAGCCAGGAACACCAGCACTGCCACCAGTGACCAGGGTGCATCAGCACTATAATACCAGCTGCAACGGAAGAGCCTACACCATTTATCGCCATCTTGCCAGTTCAGACTCGAGATAACATTCGTGTTCCATGGATGGCGATGGTAGCGATGGTGGTTTAGTGGGAGAATTCTGGAATTCTTGGAATTCTCAGAGAGGCCATATCTGGAGGAAGAGAATGCCACAGCAGGTCGTGTCTAACAGAATACTAAGACGTGTCTCGAAATTCAAATTCAAGATTTTCCCTAGATATTGTCGGAATTGTCTCTCCTTGTATATTGTCGGATTCTTATTGTTAGAGGAATGCCAAGAATTGTTTTTACCTATTCAACAAGAATTTCAATCTTATTCTAACTACGTAACAATGACAGCTGGCCCCTTTCATTGGTTCGGTTGTTTTATATTTGATACCGCCATCTTGGCTACATTGCACATAGCCTGTAAGAGCAAAGTAACAATATGATCCCGTATCTCTAATATTACTGGCATTCATTCTAATTCGCACGATTTGACAACAATTGTCTTGTTGGTCCATTGTTTAAAAATTTGCGAATAATCGAAACGTGAGAACAAGTCACTTAGACGTATCGTTCTTGTTTCAACTGAATGTGGAAATAATACGGCATCCCCGTCACTTTCACACGTTCAAAATGAAATCCTATTATTTTTCATATTTTACTATACTCTCCTTTCCTCTCTCACTGCTCCGTTCCCTTACTATCTCCACAGTACCCTCATGACAGAGTAATAGTTGCCTTTCTTTTTCGTGACAGACGTTTACTCGGATGTTCTTGAAAATTTATGACTGTCGCCTATATTAGCTACTCTCTATTTAACAAGAACGTGAAGACTTGCGTTTGCCAAGTGCACGCCTAGAAAAATAAATAAAAAGAAGGAACGGGAGAAAGAAATTCTGCAATCGCAGAAAACTGCATTTACATTTGACGCACGAATTGGAAATCCTGGGAGTAATGAAGATTTCGTATTTGCTCGAGAAACGGAAAACGAGGTCATCGTTTGTGACCTTTGACACTTTGACACGGACGATTTAAAGTTTGGCTCACTGTCCAAGTAACAGGTGTGTTGGGGTCATATTTAAGGGTAATTTACATAAATAATATATTGCAGAGAAATTATTATAAGTTCAACGAATTGTGATATAACTTCTTAAAGTTTAGCATCTTTTTTCTATTGACGACTTTTATATGTATCAGGGAGAAACTAGAATTGAAAGTTTCTATAGGCGTAACGGTCCTTCACGACCTCGACACTCTGTAAGGCGCGCACTAAGCCAAATTTTCGTCACACGCATCTGAGTTAGAGTATTTGTCATACCAATTAACGGGTTCCATTGCTTTGGACACAATAGATTCGATGCCTTATTATTTATAAAGAGACACCTTGATACGTGCTGATATTATGGCTATATATGTAAGTATAAATGCCTCTATATAAGGTGTGAGATGCTTGCAATCATGACAAATCAGGACTGACAAATTAATATGATATTACAAAATTAGTATTGTTACGTTCCACTCCTTATAATTATTAATGGGCAAAACACATTATATTCTTTTACACATTATAATCATTTAATCATATAATCATTAATCCAGGGATAATACATTATTAACGATACACTAACAATATTAAATACTGAATTTTACTTTGTTAATATCGAACAATGAAGATATAAATAAAAGGATAAGTCTGAATCTTCTCGAATAACATTCAAGGAGATTCAAATTACAGAGTACGACTTGGTATGTTGATTATCGGAAAAAGGTTAGTTGTCAATCGATATATTAGGAATTTTGAGAAAGGGGAGTCACATCAACCAATCAGAAGTAGTTTTACTGCTATAAAAAGGGAGTCAGAAGTCGCATTCGGGGATGTGGATAAAAGAGATTAAGAGAGTAATATCAGAGTTGTCGAGTGTGTTAAATCATACAATTAAATTCAAAGTTCCAATTAGAGTCGTGAGCGAAGTCAAAATATACCAAGTACCTCTAAACCTTATCCAAGTTACCGAAATCAGAGTGTTCACAATTACTTGTAACCTTCCCGGATAGAAATGAAGACGTTGTATAGGGCCTCTACCTTATCCTACCAAATCACCAATATAAATCGAAGCTTCGATCAACATTCCATACATCAGGACTTGGATGAGACTGGTCATTCACGCCAAACGATCTAATTGAAATTCAATCACATACTGAGGGAATTCCAAATATACTTGATATACAAGATCTCAGTAAGTACAGACTTATGCCTAAACGAAGTGGTAGAAAGGTTCAACTGTGTAAAATATTCAGACAATTAGATAAACCAAACACTCAAAAACAAACAAAACCAACGAGCCAGAAGGATCTAGTCGCGACAAAATATCAAGTTAACGAACAAGACAATTCTATTCAATACTTAACGTGGAAATTAATTCCCATAGAATTTTCAAGTTTACCAAAAGATCTACCTACTGAGGAATCACTTAAGGCTGCTGTCTGGCTGGAAAAAATTTCGGTGTTGACTCGAGCGTTGACTGGTGGCGAAAGTACGAAGCTCTGACAGGGGCGTCATGGCTGCAGTACTTGGGCAGTTCCTTCGCAAAGGGTGCCAGACACCTCACAAAATTTTCAAAAAATTTTTTTTTATTATATTGTGCGCGTTCAGTACTTCGACCCCATTACTTTCCTTATCATGTTGCTTTTATAATAAAGACAATTAAATAATTTTTTTAAAATATGTGGCATATATAAAAAAACAACTATTAAAACGTCAAATTTATTAACGCATTATTTTACAAGCAATATTTTATTCAGAATGACATGTTATTTTTAATCTTACCGGTAAATTACAATACTTACATGTCATTACAATGTTATGTTATATAATTAAATTTCAGTAAAAAAAATTCTTGAAGTATTATAAAATGTATCTTTATTTAAAAGCCTTGTTTCTGGGAAATAATACACATCATAATATTGTTATAAATGGGTACAATCATAGTACATGACATATGACAATACAAAAATAATAAATGTTAGCTGATGGTATACAGAGTGTATCACCAGAAATGCACGTTTGAGATTTGCGGTGAAACGGTGCACAATTTCGAAAATCTGATGTCACAACCATTGAATGTTTTTTGATTGCGCATCGAATGGGCATATTATTATTGTTCGCTCAACTTTCGGTCGCAAATACTCACCTTGCCTAATATTAGAGTATGTGCAAAATGATCTCTATACAGATTGCATTGTATCTGACACCAGGCAAGGGGAGTAGCGCTTTGTTGCCAGGACTGACCTTAGACTTACCTTGTACTTGCTTCAAATAAGGTAGGTTAGGGTGTCTCCTAGTGTATTTGAAAAATGATGATTTGATAAAATTGGTATTTTTGTATAAATCATATGATATTTACAGTCTAGTATGTTGACTATGTTGATCCCAAACTTGCGAAGCGGTGCTAACCGATTATAGTATAAGTGCAACTACTAGCTCTACTGTTACCTTTTCTATATTGTTAATTGCACCAAGTCTACTTATTTGAACACTGTCAACCCCAGTTACACTTTGGGGGACACGAATAAAGTTTCTCGCTTTTGAAACTGCTCAAACCTAATTGTTAGATTTACATTCTACAAGCTGTCAACTCCAACCATGCATTTGGTGGACAGGTCTTGTCCACCAAAAACTGTCTTAAAAATAGAATATTTCCTGATCCACGAAGACACATTTTGAGAGATTATCACAACTCCAAATTATAAAATTCGATAGGCCTTGTATTATCACGTGGACGCGCTGTTAAAGTAGACCGAACCAACGAATCATCTTTTACATTACAAATCTCACTTACAATTGCTTGATTTTCCGGATTTAGCAATCGTAACAGTATTATGATATCCTAGTTATCCTATTTACATAAATATTTATTAATAACGAATAACGTGATATGCGTTTATCAAGTACAAAGTAAAAAGAAGCGTCTCTCACTTGCGTTAATTAAAATTTACAATAGATGGATCGTATTCTGTTCCCTTAAAAGGTGACCCTTCAGCATTCCAGGCCTTTTTAAAAATCTCTTCCATTTTCTGAAATAAAATGTTTTAAATAATAAGTAAGTATAAGTATATACTTACAGCCCTACAAGTACTTTGATGTTGATGTAAAAGTGGATAATAACCGTTTGTTCACTAGTAGGCTTTCCAAGAAGTTTCTGTTGGTGATTCCACATCAGCTCTTGAACTTTCATTTGATCCCTGCAGCATAATTCATCCAAATTTCTTGAACAATTTATTTTATTCAGTTCGATGTTGGGTTCTCCAATTATCAGGGCTTGCCACCATCTCTCTTCACACTTCTCCAAGTGTATCTGTAAACAATGATGCTTGCTGTTAAATAGCCAAATTGACAGTTCTAATGAAATTATTCCCTACTGATCCAGTGCTCTACATACAGTAATATGTTCACCAGGCACCAAGCTCCAGACAGATTCATCCTTTTTTGTTTTAAAGCACAATTCACTCCTAAAAAGTATCATCCATTCCTTAGAAACGTTAGAAGCCAAGTCAATGTTATTCGTATCTTCCAGAAAATGTTTCCGTGTTTCAATTTTAATTTCATTAGTTGTAATATCTACTCTGAGGTCTTTAGCTTTTTTAACAGCACTAGGTACTTTTATAAGCACATCGAGATCAGATATACTCTGTGACCAACTGTAATTCTCACGCACAGCTCCGTTGTAGCTATCGGATGGTTGCTGAATAGGTGTATGATCTTTTTGTGGACTTTCATCAGACCCAATTTCAATTTCTTCAGCTGGTGGAGGAATATGCAGTACTGGAGAAATTGTTGATAAATTTACAGAATCATCTTCACTTTTTCTGAAGGAATGTTTTTCTTTCCACTTGCACAGAGTTGTCAAAACAAGTTTTTCAATAACACCTGGAGGAAAGCCGACCTTCTCCTGTGGTCCCGCTTTGACATAAAAGTCGGTACTGCAAAAAAGGTATACAATTTATACTATAAGATGGTGATATAATAATCTCCTTACTGCAATCTATGCAAATTCAAAACCATCTGCAGAAAAGTAAATAACGAGCAAACGCACTTGACGTCTTTGACGTAATAAGAAATATCTATATTTCTTTTTATATACATACATTCTTACCATCTACTCAAAAAACCGAAAACAGCATCCAAGAAATTTGTGATGTTCTTCTCCTGACGCAGAATTTCTAGAAAAACCTGATCATGGTTAGTCTCCATTTTCGTAACTGAAGCAGTTCTTGAGTATACAGTTCTTTGATTTGTTTTCCATAGATAAGGCCATTATTTAATTAAAAGACTGGTGTACTTCTCCAAGAACAAATTTCGTCAAAACAAATTATCGACTAATGGTAACAAAACTTTTAACATTTTCCTATTCCAGTAGATGGCAGTGAAACTAGCTTCGCTTTAGAGTCCCGGGTAAACTGCAGTAAACGACTCCGAACTGAAGTTGGCTGCTAGTGACTTAGATTTTTAACGTAGCGCCATCTATCAAATGTAATGCCAATTGCATAGAATAGTGGCGCCTCCCGATCGGAAAAAAGCGCAACTATCTTTAAAAATTTGAAGTGAATATATTTTTACTGTTATCATATGTATACATTATCTTGTTATAAAAATATATTATCACAAAATATGATCTAGTAATCGCAATATTCCATGTTTGGAGATTTTTTCGTTTAATTTTCGTGCTACGCAACACAGGTTTGCACCTATTATGTATAAATATATTTTGATATGAAGTTATTATTACATATTTTTATATTAAATATGTGTATATTTAATTTATAAATAATATTATTTAAAAATATAAGTATGTATAAGTGCAAGCTCGTGATTGTACATTGAGCATTAAATTTGATCTACTGTTTCGAGATTTTTTTGCTACAATGTATCGTCTGCTTTCGTAAAACATGTAGAAGCATGATTTTCGTTAGTAGCTCGCAAAGCGTGTAACACAAGTGTGCTATTATTTCTTTTGCTTAAATTGCTGTGTGATCGATTGCAATGATGATACGATTCGTAGATTTGTTCAAACTAGGTGAGAAACCTTCTATTGAGGTAATCACCTTTGCACAAAGATACGGACTTATGAGTCCTATGAGCTATAGCTCGGACTTTCAAGTGTCCAGTGTGCGATAAGGACATGATTCTATGCAATGCTGAATTTCTTTCGGAAAAATATCGTTGGCAATGTCGTAGTTGCAAAACAACGAGATCAGTGAGAACTGGTTCGTTTTTTGGCAAATCGAAGTTATCAATGATCGAAATTTTACAATTGACATATTTTTGGATTCATAAGTACACCCAGATTCAGGCTCAGTGAGAAGTTCAATGTTCCCCGCACACGACGGTCGACTGGTACTATTTCTGTCGGTTATGGTTAATTTTTTTTCTAATAGGCGGCGCGACTATTCTCGGTATAATATGCAATTATATAAAATACACTTGACACGATTTTCCACGCGATCTCATTAACGTCATCACGCATGGAACATTGCAAATTTTTTTTTTCTAATCAAATAAATTTTTTTTCTGATTCGTCATCATAGCTTTTAATATTTTTCATACAAAATTTTATCGCTTTTTTCAGAAAAATAATAAAACGTCCTGATGGGTGGAAAGATTAGGTAAGTACCGTCATAAATAAAATTCCTTGATCGCGGAAGTAAACAAGAGAGAGAGATAGTTTTCGTAAAATCCAAAAATATTCTAATATGTCAAACGCAGGAATTTCGTCACTGATTGAATTTGACCTTGCTGGTCGTTCCGTCACATGTGATTTTCATTGATAAGTTAACGCCAGCACCGTTAACAACTTTTGTTTCTAGAAATAAAGACCCAAAGCACGCGCATGATAGCGTCGCGGCGCCCGGCGTCAGACTGCTTTTCTCATGGACGGCATTGCTGGAAGTACTTGTGGGTGGGGACGGGAGGATATTTTGACGCTTGCGCGGCAACCCCTATTCGTGTACGGCTGCTGGATTTTTCCTCGTCGTGCCAGGCTCTCGTGTGTCCAAGTGCCGTCGCCAAATGACGCGACGCACCGCGTCACTGCGATCAAAGCCATTTTGCGAACAACGGGAGAGAAGAGGAGAGAAAATCTCAATTTTCGAACAGACAAAGTCGAGGACCTCATAAACCTTCTAGAACCTCTTATTCGGATTAAACGGTCGAGGGAAGAAAGAAACTCGTGAAGTTACCTTAAAACTTATATGAAAATAGAAAAAATAATTCTTTACACGAGAACCAGCAATTCTTGAGATCAATCGAAAAAAATAAAAATTCAAAGTTGCGACTTGGACACGATCGCCTGGGAGGGACGAGATGTTAACCCGGAAGGTATCCCAGTCCGATTAAAAGTGCCCGGGCTTTGAGTATCTTTTGAAAGGACAGAGAGGAGGATACGGGCTTTTGGTAGCGTTATCGGGAAGATTAGCCAGGAGGATTGCGGATGAGGTAGAATCCGCAAGGATAAGAGGTAAAGTAAATCCTGAGGTAAAGTAAAAGAGAGAACGTAAAGGATCAGGGTTCAGTGACACGAAACGTGATTCGAAAAATCGGCCTACTTCCCTTAAGGCGAATTCGTCGCTTGGTAAAGCGACGTTACCCTCGTTTGTACATCAACACGAATATATCGAGGAAGACTTTCCTGCAGCTATTATTTTTTTAAAAATTATTTTCATTCTTCGAACGTCAAAATTTTCTTATCTCGGCAGCAATTACTAGTAACTTCCATTTTTCACGTTACTTATCTTCGAACTGACATTTGACGAGCTGCTTCCCTTACTCCAAACAACCCCTTAAGGTCCTATGCATTGACAATGAAATAAATTACAACCCCCTTGAACAAGTTTCATCCCTCAGGAAGAATGCAGATCCCTTCTTCCTATTTTCTGTTAGTTTCTCCTGGAATTAATTGAGGCGTCCAAAGTATCTTTTTTTTTCCGTAATAGTTACTATTTCTTGTACCTCATTCCCAGTGAGTCTTTGTACTTGCATGCGGTGTCGTAATGTTCTCCCAGTCGATGCCACTTTATTTACATCCGGTATTCCAGGTGCGACTTCGTTAATTGCCATGATGATTTTATGCACTCGGAAGGCAGTAATTCTCCTGAGGATTTTCTATAGCTTAACCGCTCTCTGGCTCACCGATAATATTAAAGCTTCCATTACCGAACGAAATCGGCTTCATGGGAGATTTTTACGTGCATACTAGAAAATCAGAAGACCTTGAACGCTTCCGTATAGCCAGGAATAAAACTCATATTCTTATAAAAAAAGCAAAAAATGACCACAATCGGGCCGTACTTACCTCTAGTAGTAATCCGCGAGTCATCTGGAGTTACCTTACGAGGTTAGGATTGGTCCGTGCACAAACCCCCACGGGGGTAAACCAGTCACTGGAGGAGATAAATCATCATTTTTCCCTATCATTTCATACGCATGATGACTTAAATGAACTAAATGTCCAACACACTGATGGATTTAATGATGAACGATTCTTCTTCGAATATATAACTCCTGAGACACTCGTCAGTGTACTAGAAGATAGAGAATCGCGGGTCACTGGTCCTGACCACTTGTCCACATTCTTCGTAGCCAAAGGGTTGGAAGTAGTTTTTCCATGCCTATTAGATCTTTACAATCTTTCTCTATCTTCTGCGCAGTTCCCGGAAATGTGAAAGCGTTCGTTCATTAGGCCAACCCCCAAAGGTAGCGGGGCTCCAGCCCACCTTTCTGACCTCAGACCGATATCATTGTTATGTAGCCTCTCGAAACCGCTTGAGAGAATTGTTTACCTGCAATTGTCAAAATTTCTGGAAAGGAACGGCGGGTATGACTCGCGTCATACTCGAGTTATCAGTTGAACCTGAAGGTTCCTTTATCAAGTTTATTTATCAGCTTAAAAAAGCAGGTAATAACGTTTCATATGTTCCCTTCACCGGAATAGGTTATCCGACGACATTATTGGAACAAAATGTCGGCAGATCATCGGATAACCTTTAATCTCACAAGAGATATGGTTTTTTTTTCTACCCACTGGGTGCCAAAAGGTCAAAGATCAGATGGGAGTTTGTTTTATGTGACGGTTGTATAGAAAATACTTGACGCCTCCTTTCATAGTTCTCTCAACCTAGAATTTTTCTTTTCCATCTTCTGCCATTTCTCTTCTAGAATGGGTTGGCGTACGTATTGGAAAACAATTTCGAGTCGCATTCCGCGACGGCTGCGAAATACGTATCCACGCGCCTATATCCATATATGTGTATATATGTATATAAATACACTGTAATATCGATTTTATCAAGTAATCAGGTTTTTAATTCATTACGCCAATTTTTTTTAAGGCTGTCGGCTCATAAAAGCCTCACGTATTTTTTTTACTTGCATTGATTTAGATAGATAGATAGATAGATAGAGTTTTATTGGTTCTGGAAATAAAGTCCCTAAGGACCAGGCAGTACATTAGATAGTTGAACAGATAACATTCATTATGACATAAGTAGTAAGCAGAATATTGTGCGTATAACAAAGAGAGCGCAAGTAAGATTAGGCGTAAAGATAAGGCTAAAGCTAGGAAAATTAGGAACTAATACAGAAGTAACTAATACTAAAAACTAAGACTATGACTAAGGAATACAAGGGTAGGCCTATCAGACCGAGTCATTAGCCTGCTCTAATGCAAGCAGGTGTCGCAGGAGTCGCATCTTGAATATAGGGAATGATGAAGTGTCGGTGACGGACGAGGGCAGACCATTCCAAAAGTGTATGCCGCTAGCTAGGAAGGAGTTCAGGTAGGTCGACGTTCGCACGGGGGGATCATGAGCGAGTCCATTCTTCCCTTCAGGGCCCGCAAGTCCTCTCTGCATCTCGTTACGAGGGAGTCAGCGAGGTAGTGAGGGTTCCCTGTGTGCACTAGGGAGTAAAATAGGCAACCTAAAAAGTAGTGACGTCTATTTGCAACTGTGAGCCACCCAAGCGAGCGTCGACCTTCTGAGACGTGTTCCCACCGTTTGATTAGAAGGACAAAGCGAACTGTTGCATTAAGTCCACGTTGTAGCCGAACATTGAGCTCTCCGGTAATATCGCATAGGACCACGGAGCAATAGTCAAAGTGCGGAAGGACAAGGGTCCGGGCAAGCCATGAACGCGCCGATGCATCGAACAGGTGAATAGAGCGGTATAGTTGAGTTAGTGAGCCAAAGACACGGCGCCGAATCGCGGATACATGTTCGCCCCAGCCAAAGGTGCTGTTAATAACTACGCCGAGATAGCGTCTGGAGGTAACGTAGGCAATGGGTCTGTTAAGAATGCAGAGAGCCGGGATGCAGGCAAAGTCAATGGCTCCAAGGTAGCGCGCCTAGCCGTTGGTATATTGAAACGTCAGAAATACCAGAGTAACGTTGAATCGGTCTATTAGTCGTGCTCGCTAATGATTCGTCAGTCGTAATTTTCACGATTTTTTTAATTTCGGAAACTGCACGGAATTTCCTGGTGAAAAAGTAACGGAAGGCTTCTCTGGTATTTCATGTGCGATACTTATGCACAGATGAATGACTGTCTACGCTTTTAAAAAAAATAGTTAAAATTCCTACCGTATCGAACTTTTACCTCTTTTTAAATAAATTCGTATAATAAATGTATGGATGAAAATTAAAGACTCGTGTAGCATTTTGAAATGCATTGTTCAAAGTGTTGACCGAATTGACCAACCGCCAACAATGCGGAGCCATTTGTCGTGCGAATAATGCTTCCGAGGTAATGAAAATCCATATACGTGATTGAGAGTCTTTGATAAAAAAAAAAAAGTTAAAAAGTGAGCGATTGATGAGAAACCAATTTCTCGCTCGGTAACGTTGACAAATATGAAACGCCAAAAAGGGTCGATAGGCGAAGAGTTAACTATATACTTTCGCCATTCTTCTTTTTGTTTGTTAGTTTTTTCTTTGCTTTATTTTAATAAAAAAGTTTCTTACATTAATTCTAATTCAAAAATTTACTTTTTCCATGTATAACATTTTGTGGCAAATTATTTTCGTAATTATTGACTGAAAATATATTTCAACGATTCTTAAACTCGTCCTGGACGAGATACAGTTCCAAAACACTTGTCAAGCCCACAATTTCTGGTTTATTACAGACAAAGTCCAAGTCACGTCTCCAAAGAGAAGTGAAGTGTTCTTCGTTAGCTAAAATATGCAAAGTTTCCCTTTGAATTTCATTTATAATGGCAGTCCTTATGTCCTCCAAGTTACTACCGGTCGCAGCCGTCGCGCCCACTTTTGTCTTCTACGTGAGGGAGCCATTGTCGTTGGCGCGCCTTGTGTACTCCCTACGATGGGAATTACTTTTCTTCGACCGAAAAGTTCCGGCTGCGAATAAAATTCACGGGAAGAAACTAACGGCGATAATGGTCCGTCGTAGAGTCCCTCTAGTAAAAGTCCGGCCAACGGTGGGGCTTGTTACTGATTGGCTCCGCCATATTATGGGCTCTTTCCGGAATAGAATGGTGTGTGTGAATACGTATATGGGAGAGATTCGCATTGTGTAGTGTGGGTAGTGTTAAGCCCTGTATGGCGGGTTGCCTGTACTTGGCGCGAGACTCGACCGAGTCTCTTGATGATAAAGATTGATAGTTTGAAAATCCGCGCGCAATGTCATGGTGGCGCCAAACAAGTCCTTAATATGGCGTCCCTTCCGGGTGTTGGCCGGACTCTTACTAGAGGGACTCTAATATCGTGTGTTTTATCGAGGAATAGTCCAACGGTATGACTTTTGTAACGGCGTATTAATACGAGTATTGTGAATCCTCCCGAGGATCCAATTGGCTATCTAAGGGCACTACTTTTGATTGTTAGTGGGGACGCGAGTCCCAGCCCTGCAGTGAACTTTGCGGGTAGTACATTCTTGTCTGAGTTACCATCGTGGTCGGGTGCGAATTTTGTATCGTCAGTAGTTTCAATAATACCGGTAAGAATTGTGTAACGAGTCACGAAATCTTTTCCATACAGCTAACTTTCCTATCGTTTTCGTGTTCGCGTTTTTCCCAGGGCCTCCGCCTATGGATGATTTCAGTATCGCTAACGTGGATAAGATTCCGTGTATCGCCTATATTTCTTTAGTGAACTATTATTTCTTGATTTTGTAATATTTTCTTAGCGCAAAAGTCTCATGATCCTGGAGACCTAACAGAAAGAATAGGCGAGTTCTCGATTGACGAGGACGCGTGTAGTGTATCGTGTTTCTCTCGCTTCCCGAGACTTCACGTATCATCGCGTGTGTCCCGCTTCACGGGAGTTCACGTATCGTATACGAAAGTTTCGCAATAGAATTACTTTAGAGTTTGTTTGATTTGCCTAAATTGTTATCAACTACATTTATTTGACTTGTTTCGAAATTATTATTTGTTAATTGTTGAAGTTCTCAATCGTCCTAAATAAAAGGACACCTGTTATTGTTTTCTATTCCGAGATTCTCATTCTCCTAATCAACTCCCTTACCAACACCTCGGTGATCTCTGCCCCTCTACCATCTCGTGAATTATCTGTGCTGGTCGGTGGCACTCTCTCCATCCCTTCTGGAATTTTTTTGCAGATTTCGTATCGTGACGCAAAGGTGCGTCTGGCGCCCAATCGGTCTTTTCCGGTATCGTATTCCAGAAGGATAAAGGTTTATTATTTGTCAACGGAAAATCAGCTGTTTTGCTACAAACGGCTCGGGTAATTAACTTCGGTTATAACTTTAAAAAAAATTTTCATCACAACATACATATATTACAGTAACTAGGACACTAAAAGCCTCATGCAAATGATTCAGCAATATTTTATTATGAGAAACAGGGTGCTTTTTTAATGTGAGTCCCTTCGCCTCTCACAGATAGATTTTCTTATAAAATATACATTTATACATTTATATAATACATATATTACCGTCGTTTAGTTGTGAAATTGAATTTTGGTACTTACAGGAATAAAAAATAAAAAATGTATAATCTAAAAAAGAATTTTTTCTAAAAATGGCGTCGGGACGCTCATCGCATCGATAGAAAAATCTAATGGCAGTCATCACACATAAGTACAGATCAAATCTTTCCCTGTTTCTCTCCCTTCCTCCCTCTTCCTCCCGCTATTCCTACGTCAAAGAATCGTAAAGAGGCCCGAAGCCTCGCGTCGGCTTATCCAACGGAATAAAAAGAAATCTCGCATCCGTCGGTCTATAGCGCCGAGAAGCCATAACGTAGACAAGGTCGGACACTGTCGCTTTTCTCTTGGCGATGATCCTGGTAGCGCCCGTGACATTGTTAGACGGTAGTCGTCGTGTTCGTGAGCCTCGGTATCGGTATCCCCGAGCGCTTGATGAGAACGTTCCGACCGTTTTTGTCCTCTGATCCCCAGTGCCAATGGAAGGTACGTATTAGGGTGTTACGAAAGTCTTTGGAGAACAGGCAGTAAATGTAGAACGTTATAGAGTAGTTGATCACCTCGAGAAGATTTGCCAGGGCTCGGAAGACCTGCGGAGAAATAATGTCCGTAGCAGGAGACAGAATCTGGGCGAAGAAGAGACAGACGAGGAAAGAGGGTTGACTTCCCCTATACCGGATCACGGTCAACAACAAAGGGAAAGATGGGGAGTCTACCTATACACATATACAGACACAGGGAGAATTATTAATATCTCTAATAATATGAAAGTGCGATAATGAATGTCTTTACCTGATAAGGATACAGACTAAGATTGCTCTCGCTAACAGTCACATTGAGAATGACCATAGGACTGACGCAAACCAGAAAGAGGATGCTGGTGCTGCCCAGCAATAGGAGCAATCTCCTCTCCTCGGCGAAGGTTCTGTGAGCCTCGTCATTACTCGCGGTCCTCGAGAGCGTCGTGCTCCGTCGACGCTCGCAGGATCTTCTGTAGGCTATCATGACCCGTAGATTAAACCCGGCCAGCAGAATGGTCGGCGCGACTTTAAAGACGATTTCCAATACGACTTTGTATACCTGGGAGAAGTAAATTCGTGCTTTCCGTGTATAACCATTGCTGGTGCATCCTGTACTATGTAAATGTCACGTGGGTCTGATTACCTGATAGAACAAGGAGTGCATGAAGAAGATGTTGTCTCTCTTCTGATAAATAAACGGACCGGCAGACGTTAAGAGACAGGTGGTTATCTCGCCACGAAAGATGCTTGGCAAATAGATCAGGAACGTAGTCAAAGGAATGAGGACTAGCATCAGAGTTGGTGATCCACACAGTGGCCTCGTATGTTGTCCTGGATAGCAGATGCTTACGTAACGTTCCATTGTCAAAGCAAGGAGCATCATTACTCCCACACCTGGAAATTAGTATAGGCTTTACTACGGATACGAATATGGTTACTGGATTATCTTGAGGGCTAATCACGTAATAATAACGCAAACGTCTTCCGCCTTTGAGGTTGATCGTGAGCAGACCTTCAATTTGGCTTTTATTTCCGCTCGAATATACCTGGACCATTTTTTGATGCTGCGATGAGAAAAAAAAGTATGTATCTCACCGAGGCAACCGTTTCCCAAAAATAGTTCGAAGTGTGCGTGATAGAAGGCTTGGGTCCAGTTGGTCCATCTTCCCGTTTCCTTGTGGATGAGAACCCTTAGAGAGAAAGGGATGCAGAATAATATAGCTAGCAACGCAGCCGCTGAATATCCTGTAACAGAGGAATACGGATCAAGGACATTGTTTGCACACGTAGTTACTTAGGTAAAGCAGTTTAGGTAATATTTGGAGAACATTCAATATGCTGAAAATTTATTATTATCTCGATTGTGCAATCTCACCGATACGGAGATTTTGTTTGCTTTTTGGGTATTTCTCGGTGAAATTTTTATTGCGTGTAAATCGTGCGAGCACATCTGCTCTCATCCCGCGAGATATCCTGGGCTGCTAGAAGGTTGTGCTTGGAAACGTGTTGACTCCAATTAGTACCCGTATTTGACTAACGCGGAATTTCGCAAAGATAATTAAAGTACGTGACTTTGCTTGGCCTGGGAAATGTCTAAAATTGCGTAGTTAATACGATGCACTAGGAACCGAATGAGAACAGGAGTTCAATTTTTTTGTACAATCAATTATAATTCTAGGAAAATATGTAACTGGGATAAAGCAGAAAAAGGAACAGTGATAATTCGAGTGGGATTGATACGGTAAAAGGATATCGGTTGAAGGCCAATAAAAGAAATGGGAAAAGCAAGAGAAAAAACGGGTGTTGAAATCCTATGTTCATTGTAGTCGGTTATTTCGCGATTTAGCGGATAAAGTCGGGTTACCATAAAATCCAAATCGAGTGGGAAGGATTGCAGCTCACAGACGTGACGGCGAAAACGAAGGAATAGGTGGGAGGTGACGAGAGGAGAGCAGCGGCGGAAGAGTGTAAGGAGATAAAAGCAATAGGCGACATTTGCATGAGAAAGAAATCCGTAGACAGAATTATTGTGGTGCCAAAGGGAACTCACTGTTGAGACTGGGTGCCTGAGCTGCCTACCGATACCTAAATTCGCCTGTCCTGAGTGTCTCCATTTACTTTTAATGATTTTACCTTATTCTGAAGCCCAGAGCTCCTTGGGAAGCATTAAGAAGCTGGGCTAGTCAAACGGAAAGTCTTGAAATATTTTATTTCATCTTCCACGCTTTTTAAATCTGCTTGCTCGAATGTCTCTCTGTTTGTCGATATTTCAGTGTTCCATGGACTAATATTTACACCGAGTCCATGAAAATTATATCAGGGGTAGGTAAACGACACTAGCAAAAGGATTTTCCACATTGCAGGCTCCACGTAGTTAGCCCCTCATCTATAACGGATTTGAACGATTTTTTTTGCAATCGATTTTACGACGTTTGTAGGTGTTTAATATTGCATCCACGACGTTTGATAGTTCATCATTTATTTATAATATTAAAATTAATTTTCTAGGGAATTTTTCTTTAGGTTAGCCCCTCATTGAAATATTTTATAATCTAATCATTTTTTGCTCATATCCAATCGTTTGTAGGTGCTTTATATGTCATTGGTGATATGAAATAATTGATTCTTTAATCGTAAATAATGAAAGAAATTTTATCTAGGGAATTCCATAAACAGCACCTAGCGCGCATGCGTGAAGACTTCAATATGTCAGATAACTCACATTCTTCACGTACTTATGTGTATCTTAATTGTATGGCGTATATCATTTTAGTGAAGATTATATTAATGATTTCTTTATCATGTGTTCCTTAGGAAAAAAAAAGAGTGTTCAGAAAGTGGACACACAAAACGGCGTACAATTGCTTTCCTTTTAAATTGCCAACATTGAAAGAGTGATGAGAAATTACAGATATTTGAAGTTGAAATTTGCTAGAAATTGTTTTCAAATCAGGACAGGTATGATGAGCTTTTAGATAACGATGGTGATAATTGTGTTAGCACAAATTTTGGATCTCTTATGAATACTGGTGATATTGAGGTAGAGTTTGAAGCAGTTATTATCTACAGAGAAAAAAATACTGTGCAATCAATTCTCGGTTTTCTCATTAAAAAGGTAATTTTTCTTGTCAATTTATTGAACTTGATGCATATTGCGTACAATGTCATGCATAATTTGTATTTGCTGACAGAAATGGATGCTCAAACAACAGATAAATATGTATGTACAATCAATGGTTCTCGAAGAATGGTTAGATTCTTTTTTGGATGCTCAATGTGAATGGAACGTTGCCTTTGTTTCTACATAAATACTGTTACCTCCATCACAATTGTAAATACATATTTCGTTTATTATAGTACTTTGAAGTATACTCGGATAGTTATGTATTTCTAGTATTTATTAATAACATGATTGTACAACAAATATAAACATCTTCTGCAAATTCTTATGCTGCATTATATTAGACTTCTCCCTAAGCACCTTCAATTCTGCTCTTTTCTTTGCCAAAAGAGATACCGGTGTCCACAGGTAATGTGTACAGTCGCCTAAAAAGCAAAGGGAAGAGTACTACTATAGAAAAAAAATAAAAAATCGTTTCAATTTAAATAATAGCTGACTTATATTGGTAAAGAATTCCAATCAAAGATCTTTAAGGATTGGTATAAATTCTTTGATGAAATGCTAAAATCCAAGGTGAAGACTATATTGAATACAGTGGTTCTCCGCAACACTGGCAAACAATAGAATGACCTCTTACATTGGATAGCATGCATAGGTCAGCACACAGCAGCTACTGCGGATGCTTCCTCATCAGATTTGCAGCTAACTGATCTATTTGTTCGTAAGTAGTTTATGATGTGTAGTCATCATAATCTTCTGTAAGAAACATGGATGATATATTTTCTTAGAGATTTTAACGAGTCAAATCAATCACCAATGGGTATTTACTTCTTCGTTAATGTTACCGTTAATTATTTGCATTAAATAAAGTAATTAGCCAATCGTTACACCAAGAAAGCATAGAAAAAACCTGTGATTGACTTACGAAAACGACATAGCAAACGTCCACTGTCAACATCCTATTGGACAACGACACTAAGGCGTCCGTTCTACAGTAAGTGATATGACGTTGATGTTTGTCGTGATTCGCTTCTACGAGCCAATGAGAATAATTTTTTTTCTCTACTTTTTCGCTGTTACGATTGGCCTTTAAAATTGTTTATATTTCCACCATGCAGGGTTGAAATAGAGTTAACCAATCAAGTTAGCTTATTCCGCTCAAATCTCACTTTCAATTGGTTAACTCTATTTCAACCTTACGCGGTAGAAACATATAAATGAGATGTTTGTCCTTGTACAAATTATTTTATTGATAAATACTATAAATACATACCTATCCAAGTATACTTTTAAGTACTAGAATAAATTAAATATGTATTTACAATTGTGATAGAGTTAACAGTATTTATGTAGAGATAAAGGCAACGTTCCATTCACGTTAAGCATCGAAAACAGAGTCTAACTATTTTTCACGAACAATTGATGATACATGTTTATCTATTGTTTGAGCATCCATTTCTGTAAGAAAATACAAATTATGCATGACGCTGTACACTATGTGCATCACGTTTAATAAATTTACAAGAAAAATTACCTTTTGAATCAGAAAACCGAGAACAGATTGTACAGTATTTTCTTCTCTGTAGATAATAACTGCTTCAAACTCTACCTCAATATCACCATCGTCATTCGATTGCATTTAGCGTATAACCTTAAGAGTACTGCTCGACCTTTCTTTATAATGATTCCTTAATTATACAATTTACTGAATATGAAATAGTGAATACTAAACTGTAAATATTTCAGAACTAAGAAAAGAGCACTAATAAATATTTGATATCTCGGATTGCAATATTTAATAATATACAGATGAGTACATGCAAAATCTGATTTGACTTATTGAAGTCTTCACGCATGCGCGCTAGGTGCAGTTTATGGAATTCCCCAGATAAAATTTCTTTTATTATTTACGATTACAGAATCAATTATTTCATATCATCAATGACATATAAAGTACCTACAAACGATTGCATATGAGCAAAACACGATTAGGTTATAAAATATTTGAATGAGGGGCTAACCTAAAGAAAAATTCCCTAGAAAATTAATTGTTATGTCGCGGCCTAGTGATAAATAATCTCACTAGAATTGAGCGGCGAATTCAAATGTGGGATTAAAATGGAATTACGATTTCCGTCTCCAAATCAGAATACAATGCTTTGAAATACTCAGTCTGCCAGTAACGCATAAATAAGGTATATTCTAAACAGTGCGGAGAAAGCTTTCTAGCCTCTAGACGTGCATAAACATATGGACTACAAAGAATGTAGGCATGGGCCATTTGTTTATTGCTATCCTAACCGAGTGAGTTTCTGAGGAACTCTCACTCCTGGCAATAAATCAAGTCACTTGAGAGGATCGACGGGTTAGCGTAATATTCGGTTAAGGGATGACGCTGTCCATGTGCTTCCCCAAATAAACGAAGGATAGGGTGTGCATGAGTCCTTTGTGCGTAAGGCAAGGCCCTCGATCTTGGGCCCGGACAGCAAGGCCCCACACGCTGGGCCTCCACAAAGGGTGTACATACACATGAATGTGTATGAGTGCGGAAGCATGCATGAGAAGTATGAAGGACTGTATCCCTTGAGATCCAGAAGAGCAGTTCGATTTCTGGTCTTGAAGAGTCTGGTCTTCGAGTCTATATCGTAGAGTCAATTAGCTAGATTCAGTTAAGATAGATTGGTTTAGACTAAATCACATTATAATTAAAGTAAATAAAGTTAGTTATAGTGCTCTCCAAAAGCACGTGCATTTTTATTCCTAAAGCCTTTATTCAGTTGAAAACCCATAACATCACCGTACTAGAAATCAACATATACTATACAGAGGATTGAACACCGTTAGAGTGCTCATCCGAGCTTTGATGGCTAACGAACCCACCTCGCCAGATTCACGCAGTTGAATTTGCCGCGAAAACGACAGTTGGAACAATCAAAACATCATTGGATATGAGCAAAAAATGATTAGATTATAAAATATTTGAATGAGGGGCTAACATAAAAAAAAATTCCCTAGAAAATTAATTTTAATATTATAAATAAACGATGAACTGCCAAACGTCGTGGATGCAATATCAAACACCTACAAACGTCGTACAAACGGTTGCAAAAAAAATCATTCAAATCCGTTATATGGATGAGGAGCTAACTGCGTGAAGCCGGATCCAATGATATGGAAAGCACAGCTGGTAACATTGCAGTTACCGATCGAGCCTGAAATTATTTTACCTCCAACGCATGGAGCTTGCGACGAGTTTGGCTCCACGTAGTTAGCCCCCCAGCTACAACAGAATTGAATGATTTTTTTTTTATATTGTTTGTAAATGTTTGATATTGCATCCACGACGTTTGATAGTCCATCATTTATTTATAATATTAAAATTATGTGACGTCCTGATCGTCGCCACTGTCGTTTTCGCGGCAGATTCGACTGCGTGAATCTGGCGACGTGGATTCGTTAGCCATCAAAGCTCGGATGAGCACTCTAACGGTGTTCAATCTTCTGTATAGTATAAGTTGATTTCTGGTACGGTGATGTTATGGGTTTTCAACTGAATAAAGGCTTAAGGAATAAAAATGCAGGTGCTTTTGGAGAGCACTATGACTAACTTTATTTACTTTAATTATAATGGGATTTAGTCTAAATAATTGACTCTACGATATAGACTCGAAGTACAGTCTTCAAGACCAGAAATCGAACTGCTCTTCTGGATCCCAAGGGATACAGTCCTTCATACTTCTCATGCATGCTTCCGCACTCATACACATTCATGTGTATGTACACCCTTTGTGGAGGCCCAGCGTGTGGGGCCTTGCTGTCCGGGCCCAAGATCGAGGGCCTTGCCTTACGCACAAAGGACTCATGCACACCCTATCCTTCGTTTATTTGGGGAAGCACATGGACAGCGTCATCCCTTAACCGAATATTACGCTAACCCGTCTATCCTCTCAAGTGACTTGATTTATTGCCAGGAGTGAGAGTTCCTCAGAAACTCACTCGGTTAGGATAGCAATAAACAAATGGCCCATGCCTACATTCTTTGTAGTCCATATGTTTATGCACGTCTAGAGGCTAGAAAGCTTTCTCCGCACTGTTTAGAATATACCTTATTTATGCGTTACTGGCAGACTGAGTATTTCAAAGCATTGTATTCTGATTTGGAGACGGAAATCGTAATTCCATTTTAATCCCACATTTGAATTCGCCGCTCAATTCTAGTGAGATTATTTATCACTAGGCCAATTCTGATTTGGAGACGGAAATCGTGATTCCATTTTAATCCCTCATTTGAATTCGCCGCTCAATTTTAGTGAGATTATTTATCACTAGGCCGCGACATAACAAAATTTTATCTAGGGAATTCCATGAACAGCACCTAGCGCGCATGCGTGAAAATTCAATATGTCAGATAACTCACATTCTTCACGTACTTATGTGTATCTTAATTGTATGGCGTATATCATTTTAGTGAAGATTATATTAATGATTTCTTTATCATGTGTTCCTTAGGAAAAAAAAGAGTGTTCAGAAAGTGCATACACAAAACGGCGTACAATTGCTTTCCTTTTAAATTGCCAACGTTGAAAGAGTGATGAGAAATTACAGATATCTGAAGTTGAAATTTGCCAGAAATTGTTTTCAAATCAGGACAGGTATGATGAGCTTATAGATAACGATGGTGATAATTGTGTTAGCACAAATTTTGGATGTCTTCTGAATGCTGGTGATATTGAGGTAGAGTTTGAAGCAGTTATTATCTACAGAGAAGAAAATACTGTGCAATCAGTTCTCGGTTTTCTCATTAAAAAGGTAATTTTTCTTGTCAATTTATTGAACTTGATGCATATTGCGTACAATGTCATGCATAATTTGTATTTGCTGACAGAAATGGATGCTCAAACAATAGATAATTATGTATGTACAATCAATGGTTCTCGAAAAATGGTTAGATTCTTTTTTAGATGCTCAACATGAATGGAACGTTGCCTTTGTCTCTACATAAATACTGTTACCTCCATCACAGTTGGAAATACATATTTCGTTTATTCTAGTACTTTGAAGTATACTCGGATCGTTATGTATTTATAGTATTTATTAATAACATGATTGTACAACAAATATAAACATCTGCAAATTCTTATGCTGCATCATATTAGACTTCTCCCTAAGCACTTCAGTTCTGCTCTTTTCTTTGCCAGAAGAGATACCGGTGTCCACAGGTAATGTATACAGTCACCTAAAAAGCAAAAGGAAGAGTACTACTATAGAAAAAAAATTAAAAATTGTTTTAATTTAAATAATAGCTGGCTTATATTAGTAAAGAATTCCAATTAAAGATCTTTAAGGAATGGTATAAATTCTTTGATGAAATGCTAAAATCCAAGGTAAAGACTATATTGAATACAGTGGTTCTTCGCAACACTGGTAAACAATTAAATGACCTTTTACGTTGACCTGCGGGTCGGGTGCGCGTGCGAAATCTCGGAAATCTCCGTCACGGGATCATCTCCGAGAACAATAATTTTGCGAGAATCTGCAGTATCATTAAAGATGATATCATGCAGAAACTGGACCAGATTGGCCGGCGCGTTCGGAAGTTATGGCCATTTAAGTGTTTTCACTTCAAGGGGGTGTAACTCCCCCTAGAGTGATCCTACAGGGGTTCAATGCAGGTGTTTTGTTAATGCCGAAGGATGCTCTCTTTCGTGCCCTAATTAGAAATATGCATTTTCTGCCGGAACTACTAGAACTCGAATTTTTCAAAAAGTTCCAAAATGCACTTTTTCACTCCAACGCCTGTTATTCGGCCATTTTGTATCCGATCGGGGTAAAACCTTTACCATTCGAACGGGAAAGAAATTTCCTACAAAATTTGTTTTTGGTTTTTCGAAATCTGTCATATTTTCACAGAAATGTAAACAAATTTAAGTGTTGCACTTTAATTGGACGTTACTGTATAGTAATACTACACGTGAGAATCTGGAGCTGTTCTTCATTTCATTTTTTGTTTTAATGTGCCACGGTCGCAGCGTGGTCTGATTAAAAAAAAATTTAATAACGCTCGCACGTATGGCAGGCTGTTTCACTTTTTAATAGTTTAATACTATTTACCCGAATAGAAAAGCAGTAAAAAATGAGATGAGACAAATAGTATATCTGCTTAGAAATTTTTAGTTTCATACATTTTTTTGTAGCCTCATTCAATTTAGCCAATTTTTTTTTATTCATGCCTACGGAAATATAATTTTATTTTTAATATTTCGAACTATCATTATGTTCTACCTCGACGTAATTTTCTGATAATTCGATGTATTAAAAATATTGTCTTTACATAGCCTTGAATGATAAAAATTAAATGAAAAACAAATTCCTCACCAGATACATTATTTGTTTCATCTCACTATAGAAAATAATTGGTTCATTTTTACATGCTCATCATTTTATGCCCGAGATTTATAAGTGCATTTTTTGTTTTTGGTAATTTTCCGTAATGCCTTCTTTATCCGTCTGAATATTATTTATGCTAATAAAAAATGAGACAGCTTGCTATAGGTGTTTGTCACAGGCAGAGGCTCTAGGGAAGAAGAAACGTTCCCTGTTTGATGTACATACCAATTTATTGCATGTATACGATGTAATATAATACAATATTTGTAGACTAATATAATCATATATTTCAAGAATCTTAAGTTAACTAGGTGAACCAATAAGCATAGTTGATAATTAAGAAAAAAAAAGGGATGAGACGTAAGTTTCGAACTCGAGATTCTCGGACGTTAACCCAGCACCAAGCACGTACGCTACCCAAGAATCTTAAGTTAACTAGGTGAACCAATAAGCATAGTTGATAATTAAGAAAAAAAAAGGGATGAGACGTAAGTTTCGAACTCGAGATTCTCGGACGTTAACCCAG